ATATCAAATGCAAGGATTAATATTGTTAGAATGTATTTCAATATCAGACGCCCTCTCGTAGTTGAAGGTTCAAACAATCAGACGTTAAAATCCTCTCCACGTGAAGCATGGTGCACAAGGCACAATTATTACAACAACAACAACAAAATTACATTTGTATAGCGCCTTTCAAGGCGGGAGGACGTTTCAAGGCGCTGGACAGACAAAGTTTCGGACCCGAGCTCAGGGTTGGGCTCGGGGAGGGTGGAAGGCAGGGGGGTGGAAGCAGGGAGATCGAAAGCACGGTTGAAGAGGAGGGTCTTGAGATGGGGCTTAAAGGTGACAAGGGACGGGGTGAGGCGGAGGGACTGATGGATGGAGTTCCAGAGGGTGGGGGCAGAGTGTCAGAAGGCCCAATAGTGGGGCAAGTGAGGCGGGGTACGTGAAGCAGAGCGGAGGAAGCGAGCAGGATGGTAGGGGATTAGGAGGTCGCAGAGGTAGGGGGGAGCAAGACCATGGAGGGCTTTGAAGGTGAGGACCAGGATCTTGAACTTTATCCTCTGTGTGATGGGAAGCCAGTGGAGTCGGGCGAGGATGGGGGTGATAGGGTCACGGAGCCTGGTGCGGGAGAGGACACGGGCTGCAGAATTCTGGATGATCTGCAGCCTATGAAGAGAAGAGTTGGGGAGGCCGACAAGCAATAGTCTTTTAATAATAATCCTTGCATTCGAGACGTTTCAAAGCGTTTCACAGAATATACTGTAAAGTGAACGGACTGCATAGTTTTTGCGCGAAACCCAGCAGCCAATTGCACACAGCAGTGTCCCACAAACAGTCGTGGATTGGGTGACCAAATCACTATTTTTTTGGAAGGTTTATTAGCTCTGAATTATTATTATTAATGTGGCAATAATAATAATTCTTGCATTTGATATAGCACCTTATCACATCTTCGAGACTTCTCACAGCGCTTCAAAGAATATAGGGTAAAGTCATTTGACTGTATATTATTATTTGTTATTTGAATTATTTTTGAAGTATTATCCCCGGAAAAGCAATCAGCTGGTTGACTAGCAACTGGGTTCCTAGTTACTGCTCGGTGAGCAGAGGAGTGTGGAGTAAGGAAGCTTGCCTAAGGTATTACCTTCCCCGGGAATCGAATCCAGTTCCTCTCGCTTGCGAGGTGAGCGCTCTAACCAATATGCTACAGGACTCCGTCGAGCGGTAGAGTTTCTGTCTGCTGAAATTGTCTCTTTTTTAAAAAAATCTCATTCAAGCAAAATATTTTGGCAAGCATCAACAGAAAAGATTCTTGTACCTTGAAGGAAAGAAGATACCATATTTAGACAGAACAAGAAATGACTTAATCTTTTTCTCATTACATGTACACCCACGCACACCTCAAGCCCGAATTCTCAAATTCCTTTGCTACAAAGCTAAATAAAGCGCATTACAAATACTGCATGATTAAACACGTAAAGAAATCGAGCTGAAGGTTTGTTACTTGGAGCATCAAACAACTTATTATGAAGAGGACATTTCAGCTTCTTCAACAGAAAGAATTTGGAATCTATTTACTCTTTGGCATAGAGGCAAAAAGGCATGGCATGAACATTTTTCAAAGATATCTATGAAATCATATTCCTGACAGCACCTGCTTAGGCTTTTGAGCTAACAGAGACCAAAAACACTTTTTAAGATCTCAGTGATGACTGATACACTTGTAAGAATCAATTACAGTGTATCAGAAACAATCAATCAATCAATCGGTCATTCGATCAATGGAAAGTGATGTCTCTATATGAGCCATCCAAACACGCATCTATCAAGCTACAAGCCTTTTGTCATGGGCAGTAATAATATAATACAAATAATAATTCTTGCATTTGATATAGCGCCTTATCACGTCTTCGGGATATCTCAAAGCACTTCACAGGATATACTGTGAAGTAAAGACTTGTGGGAGAAACTCTGTGGCCACTTGCGCACAGCAGGGACCCAGAAACAGTCGTGGTTTGAGTGACCACATTATTATTCTATTTATTCTTGATGGGATTATTACTCCCGGAAAAGCGATCCGTCAATCGACTAACAACTGGGTTCGCATTTCTGCTGGGTAAACAGAGGCGAGCGGAGTAAGGAAACTTGCCTAAGGTTTCACACTGCCCGGGAATCGAACCCGGGTGCTCTCGCTTGCGAGGCGAGCTCTAACCAACACACTACAGCACCCCACATCTTTTCTGTCAAAGATATTACAAATTGTGTTTGAAGCAGACAACGTCAATGCTTGTCAGAAGAAATCTGATGCTGAGGTGAGGAAGAAGGGGAGAAAAAAAGGTGCCTGAGAGGAGGCTAGGGAAAGATTAAAATAGGTGGAGGCTCATCTGGAATATAAACAACAACAACAACAAGATTCCATTTATAGAGTGCCTTTCACGTCGGGAGGACGTCCCAAGGCGCTGGACAGTTGGGTCAGGACCAGAGCAGGAGGAAAATGGTCAGGGTGAGGGGAGGGAAGGGAGGGAGCGAGGAGGGGGTAGAGAGTCGAGAGGGGAGCTGAAGGCTCGGTCAAAGAGAAAGGTCTTGAGACCGGCCTTGAAGGAGGAAAGGGAGGAAGCGGCGAAGGCACTGGGGGATGGAGTTCCAGAACCTGGGGGCTGAGAGGCTGAAGGCCACCGATGGTTGGGCAGTTGGGGCGGGGGATGTGGAGCAGACCGGAGCCAGAGGAACGGAGGGTACGGGCAGGTACATGGGGGGATAGTAGGTCGGAGGTAGGAGGGAACAAAGCCACGAATGGCCTTGTAGGTGAGGATGAGGATCTTGAACTAGCTGGGCCGGATTTCAATGCAGTAGTTTATGTAATTCTATATGCATGTAATATATAATTGCTAGAAAACTTGTAAACGAATATTTGTAATACGATTCAAGAAATTGTTTCCGCAACTGGAGTTTCCAGTGAATCCATAGCGTGGGATGTAGCTCCATCTCCTGGCAGCATTTACGCAGTCACTTAAATACAGGCCAGGGCAGAAACTGAGCAATTTAATAGGATTAATCTTCGATTGGTTTGTAATAATAATAATCCTTGCATTTGACATAGCACCTTATCGTGTCGTTGAGTCGTCTCAGCGCTTCACAGGAATACGTTGTAAAGTGGATTGAGTGTATTTTCTGGTTTTGTAACAATAATAATAATCCTTGCATTGGATAAGAGCACTTTATTCACGTCGTCGAGACGTCTCGAAGCGCTTCACAGGATACATTGCAGTGAACTGAATCGTGCATTTTGGGGGCGAAACGCGGCAGCCGATTGCACACAGCAGTGTCCCACAAACACTTTATTATTATTTTTTTGAAGGAATTATTAATCTCTGGAAAGCGATCTCGACAACTGGGATCCAATTTGCTGCGAGGTAAACACGGGTGCGTGGAGTAAGGAAACTTGCCCAAGTTTTCGCCTCACCCAGGAATCAACCCCGAGTCCTTTCACTCGTAGCAATGTTTGCTGCGCTGATATTTTCAAAAATTCCTTTAGTACTTTTTGTAGAAATACCCCAAATTTTGCAAAATCCCAAAAATGTTTTCTTCAGGTTCACAAATCATTTCTAATGCAATTTTTTTTTACAGTATGATCTTACTAAACAAATATTTGGCACAGTGATTACAATGAAACTTGCAGGAAGATCTATCAAGTCCGTTTACGGTAAATACACATTTCAGAAAATTTATCTCAAGAGTTTCTCCTTTTTGGGGTGGGTTAATGGAAAAAGGAAAGAGGGCTTCCTATCTGTTTGAATTTAATTCAAAAACGTCCCTGTGCACTAATTTTCATTATGCCTCAGTATTTTGATAATAATGGATTAGATCTAGCATTTCCCAGGGCGAAACCTTGGACAAGTTGCCTTACTCCACACATACCTGATAATAATCCCTCAAGAAAAAAACAATAATTGGTCACTTCAATCCATGACTATTTGTGGGACACTGCTGTGCGCAATTGGCTGCCGTGGTTCGCCCACAAATATAATCAATTCACTTTAGGGTATATTCTGTGATGAGCTTCGAGATATCTAGAAGACATGAAAAGCACTGTATCAAATGCAAGGATTGTTGTTATATATTATATTAGCGCCTTATCACGCCTTTGAGATGTCTCAAAGCGCTTTACTGTACGGTGAATTTAGTTTGTATTTTGTGGGCGAAACGAGGCACCCAATTGCGCACAGCAGTGTCCCACAAACAGTCATGGATTAAGTGACCAAATTATTTATTTATTTTTGAAGGGATTATTACCCCTGGCCAATGGACTAAGAACCGTGTTCCAACTTACTGCTGAATAAACAGAGGAGTGTGGAATAAGGAAACTTAAGGAAATCCCTATTCAAATTCCACCTTTTTCACAATTGCAAGAAAGCAAACCTCCTCCACTCCTTCAAGGCCTTAAAAATGTACATCATCCCAACCCACTTCATTTACCCGGCTTCCTTTCTCTGCTTTTCAAACTATGGCATAATCGATGATAAGCTTTATCACTTCAGTTTGGCTTCTCAATAAAAAAGCCAGAGATAATTGATATCTTAAGTGAAGATACCAATCATCTTCAGAGTCCCTCCAGCTCGGATGCAAACACTAAACTATCCGTCACCTCCTGACATGAAAGGCGCTATATAAATGTCAATTTGGGAACGAATGATTAATTTGCTTGGAGTCCGACAGTCTCTGTAAAGCACTTGAGACATTACCCGCCCCAAAAGACCCAATACAAATAAAAATTCTTGTTTTAATAGGGTGGCTCTTTTGACTCTTTAGGAAAAGATTCCAATATTGCAAATTTGCATGAAAATAAAAGTCATGAATGGACTAAAACTATTAGTAAAGGTATGCAAAGCCTGAATAGTTGGTTGCTGCCCTCCAGAGAAGCCAATTTAGTAAAGCCTGAAAATAATAGTTTAACGATAATATCAACTTTAATGTGCCCCCTTTTGATCTGTAAACTGTGAAAAATAAAACAATCTATTCTAAAACTGGAAAAACAGCATTTATTCAATGTGAATAGAGTACGACAAAGAGTGGTGAAAAATCCACAACAGTCTACATTAATAATAGATTTGTGAGAAATGAGTTAGGTCATACAGGATTTCATTCAATTCCTAGTTTTTTCTACTGCAAATTTACAGGCAATCCAAAACATTCTGAAAACATGCCATGCCATGAAACATTTCTGTTTGTGGGAAAGAGCAACAAAAAGATTAGCAACTGTTAAAAATTCCTCTTCCATTGAAGAAATACGTAGTCATAAATACAAGGACAATGCAGCTTCCACATTGATTTAAAAGCATCTAAAGGGAGCTGTACTATAGTAGTTGACTGTTGACCTCATCTGGGGCCCCACTTGATGTCTTTTACACCTTGAAATTGCCTTTTCAGAGCATGTCTGTCTGCCCACTCAGAGTCAAGATGCGAATCTTCATCATTTTCTTCAAGTTTCTGAAAAAAGATACTTCCAGTAAATGAAAGCAGTAAGTCAATTAATTTGCTGATTCACGTCTTAAGATTCCCTGCAACTGTGCACCGTGTTTAGCAATTTTGACTTATTTAAAAAAAGGTTTCTCAAGCATTTGAATAAAAACTCACTACTGATTATTCTTTCTTCTTGGAAAAGTAACAGAAATACTATTTACAGAGTAACCTCATTATAAAATGCCTTGCAAGAACCCACATTTACTTATAAAGTGTGGTAAACTTTTGACATGGTCACCACTGACATCGCTTGGTCAAAGTTTACCACACTTTCCTTTTAGCAGGCAAGAACTGCACGGTTGATCAGCTGGCTTTTTGGTGGGTCAGCCAGGTGTCCGATTCATGTGGAAACCTATCGTCATACTTAATTTAGCTTTCTGCTCATTGCAAGCAAGCTCAGAAAGCCAAACAACCAAAGGCCACAAGCAATGTCAGTGGTGACCTTTTGATCAGAAGTGGAAATAACATGTTTTTATCTCCTCATTGCCGTTAGAAAACCTAATTTTATTAATCCAGTATATTTAGAGCTCAGGCGTTATTTAATGACTTGTTAATTAGACTTAGATGCTCAGAATTAAAAATCTGAAATGTTCATATTAAAATAGAGGACGTCCTGGCAGCCTGTGTCAGCCTGGTGGAACTCTTACATCCCAGTCGGAAGATTGTTTGGCCAAGCTCCACATTGGAGATGTGCAGCACTTTTGGAGGTGATGTCCTTTGAATGAGACTTTAAACCGAGGGCCCGTCTGCCTGTTCAGATGGATATGAAAGATCCCATGGCGCTATCTGAAAAAAAGGGTATTTCTCCCAGTGTCCTGGCCAAACACCCCCCAGATAAAATTGGCTATTCACTTCATAGTTATTTGTAGGACGTTGCAGTTTGTGGGACATTGCTGTGCACAAATATGCTGCTGCGTTCGCTCCGAAAATAGTCACTGCACTTTACACTACTTTGGGACTGCCTTCCAAAGTGAAAGGACTTCTCAAAGTGCTTCACAGGAACCGTGTTCGTACAGGCACAGTGACACACAGCAATGTCCATCAAGCAGCCATGAATCAATGACTAATCAATATTTTAGTTGGGGTGGAGGAAGGAGCAGAGAAGGGTTGATGGCCGGGCACCAGAAGAAGCACCCTTCTCTTTTCGAATAGTGTCACAGGGATTTCACGTCCATCTGAACAGGCAGACGGGACCTCAATTCATCATCTCACCCAAACAACAGCACCGCTGACAATGCAACTCTCCTGACACAGCATTGGAGTGTCAGGATCATTTGGTCATAATCTCAAAGTTCCAACATAATAATAATAATATTCCCTGCATTTGATATAGTGCCTTATCGTTGAGACATCTCAAAGCGCTTCACAGGATATACTGTAAAGTGAAATGACTGGGCAAAACTCACAATCAATTGCACACACAGTGTACCATAAACAGTCGTGGATTGAGTATATGAATATACTATAAATATGGGGCTTGACCACACAAGCATCTGACTCAGGTGAGAGTGTTAGCAACTGAGCCAGTTTGTAGAAATAAATAGTAGGGACCTCCACCAACCCTATGGATTACCCAAGCAAAAGATTACATATAGAATAGCTAAATCACTGCACCTTGAGTTCTTCTTGTCGTTTATAGTAGTGCATCATCATCTGTTTCTGTTCCTCTTCAGTGATCACTGGCTCTCTAGCTGGAGCCCCCTGACCTCGCTGTGAACAAAAAGCAATGTTTGACAAAGCTGCATCATCTGCTGACGTTTTATAATGGCTCCTCCTTTGCTGTCTTACTCTGGAATTTCTCACCTAATTCAAAAGTAGCAACTCTAGTTTTCACTTACAGTAACTTTATTCCCCAAATACTATCCATTAAATAGATTCTTAACATCTCATTAAGTAAATGTTGATAAGAAAACAGTAATACTATCGGTAAGTAGTGCCTTCACTCATCCACACCAACACTAATTCAGCACATTCCACTGTACAAGAGCAAAATACTATAATTTTATAAATACTTTGTAAACCAATATCTAAAGGCTTTATTTTACCTTGAACTCCAGTATTTATATTTTGTGAACGCATTATAATTTTTTNCTTAAGGTATCAGTGATATAAATATATAAACCAAGGAATTTACAAAACATACAATAACAAGAAAATTACATTTGTACAGCACCTTTCATGTCGGGAGGACGTCCCAAGGCGCTGAACAAAGCAAACAGGAGCAAGGTTCCAAATTTGATCCCTGGTTTGTGCTGAATTAGTTGTTCTAAGCCTGAACAATATTAGGGAATACTAAAATGGCTTAAGTACACCATTGGGGAGTGGCAAGGGATAGAGATTCCTAATCGCTATTCTGCAATCCACTGCTGGAGATGTACCCGAGAACAGCTTTACAAGTCAACTGCAGTAAGCATGAAAGCGCGAGAGGATTAGTAACTTCGTGGATCAATTCTTTTTTTCCCAATGAGAAGCAAGGAAAACACATGCATCTTGACCACTATACATACAAACATTAATATTCTAAATTATTTCTTAAATTCTGCAATTACTAAGCTATCACACACAGCTCTCAGCTCAATAGAATGAATCCTAGAAAACAATGATCATTTGCAGAGAGAATATTATCAACGCATCCTGGCATCATCTTGCTGGTAGTTCAGAACAGGTGAGTATTTTTATAGCCTCTCATACATCTACTGGAAAAGGTAATATTTTATTTTGCAAAAACAATGTAGTCAACCAAGTGTCACAACACAATGACACACATTTTATACTAAAGTCTAGTTTATTGCCTTTCCTTTTTTTTAAAAACAGTCCAAGCTATATCTTAGTTGGTGAAATTTATAATAATCTTTGCATTTGATACAGCGCCTTATCATATCTTCAAGACGTCTCAAAGCTCAAAACATACTGTAAAGCAAATTAACTGTATATTTTGTGGGCGAAACATGGCAGCCAATTATGCACAGCAGTGTCCCACAAACAGTCATGGATTGAGTGTCCAAATAATTTTTTAAAAAAGATTGTTGATTTAGTATTTTTATAAAGTGTATTATAAAGAAATACACAAATATTCCAACTGCATACTCACTTTTTGTATTTTTACTGTAATTTTTGTTTTCTCGTTTGTGCCCACATAGTTGGACAGTTTCTTTCCTCTCTGCATTTCCTTCCCTGCCCACCACAGCTGGGCATCGGCCTGCTCGATCACCTCTTTCCCAGCCTACAACACAAAGCGATTTGGGGAATATAAATAATTTGTGGAATAACAACCAAATACAGCTTCTTAACAAAAGTACATAAGTACGTAAGATACGAAATACTAAACAGAATTGTATTCAGATGAGACACCTATAAGCACCTGAGCTAATGACTAGTATCTCCTTTAACTCCAGTTTGCCAGTGTGTAACATTGTGAGAAACAATGGAATTCATACATCTTCTGGCACATGATAGCCCATCAACCATGCTAACACCAAATGTGTCAGCTTGATTGGGTTGGGAGCACTCTTGCCTCCAGGTCAAAAGGTGGTAGGGTCAAGACTATGTCAAGAACTTTGAGGTTATTGTCTAACATGGCACTTCAGTGAAATATCAATGAAGTAGCGGCACTCTTCTTCAGATGAGACATTAAACCGAAGCCCGGTTTCCCTCTTCATGTAGACATTAAGGTGTCCATGATACTATTAGAAGAGAGAAGGGAATTTCTCTCAGTGTCCTGATCAACAATCTCACAGATAAATCGGTCATTCATCTTCCAGCTGTTTGTGGGCCTTTTCTGTGTGTAAATTGGCTGTTGCGCTTACCTACGATACACAGTTTTGACATTATCAATGACATTGAAAGCAAAGATTATTATTATGTTGTAAACCTTGCCATGGTTAAAATTATCACTTTCTCTCCTCTGTTTCAAATTGAAGAAAGCCCTTGAAAGCTAATGTACTTAAACCTGAATAAATGTTGTTTGATATCCTCTACCCTATCTGATATAGGATTTTTTACATTGAGGGAAATGTTTATCCACAGACTCCCAGTTAGAAATTAGTGGTAAAGCACTTCCATTATATCACCTCCTAAGAAACAGAACACTCTCAGCCATGTGATAGCAATTGAAAAGGAATGCTAACCACATAAATATGGATCTCACCTCCCCACCCATGCAAACGGGAAAAAAATCCAAAATGTTAAATCAGTGTAGCTAAAATCTGTTTTTTTTTAAAAAATTGGACGGCACATTACGCCACCAAGGGCTGCTAAACTTATACTAGAAGTTCACTGCTGTTGAAACATTTGTTTTGTATGAAATGTACTCTTTCATTACGATGCAATAAAACAGTTTAAATAGTAGGCAAATACTGTTTCAAGGCAAATACTGCTTTGAAACAGTCAAGACTGGTACAGTTGAATCTAATTCCTGTGGTTGTTCTTCTGCAATCCTTTCAAAGTAAAAGTATTAGGCGCAGGTTGGCAAGAGCCAAGGCTTGGAGATCCCAGAGTGTGCGTTGGGGTAACTGCTGGAGTCTGACCAGCTAAAACCGCATAGCTTGCCATTGATATGGCTGTCTGGCAAGCTTTCCTGCTGCTTGGCCAGCCAGGACCACCCTACCCGTTAGGGCTTTGGCTTGCAGGGTTATCAGGAGCTGAGTGTGAGGATTTCTTGCCCCCAGTAACTGGTCTGGCCTTCCAGGTCCTGTCGATGAGCCAGATTGCGCTGTCCTGTCATCAGCAGTGCCCTGGAATAGTGCGGACCCTCCCACCTCAGAGGCCTTTCAAACGTTTGCGTGCAACTTACTTGCAATCCAGATAGGTCTTCATTCCCTTCAAATTCTTGTCTGATTGGATCGTATGGTGGTAGTCCCATGGGATAAACAATCATAACAGCTCCTCGCAGCTGGTCATGTGCATCTTTCACCATTTCCTTTGTGACACATACATTGGCCAGAACTTGTTTCTGAAAACAAGGAGTAAACTCTACAATTCTAATCACGTAATGCATGTAAACATTTAAAGTTCTTAACTTTGAACCTTACATTACCTTTGATATCAATGCCTTAGCTGCTTCAACTGTCTTCTTTAAAACTTCTTTCATCTTTTCATTTGGAGCTGGAACAAATATTGTCAGGTGTAACTTAATTAAATCATTTTTAAAGAGATACATGAGAGACGCCGTCCGGCGTGGAGGGCGCTATATTAATCCAAATCCAAGTTGTTGTTGAGAGAATGGGCATAAAGTTTATCTCAGCATTGAACATTTAGTGGAGCCCTGTAGCTCAGTGGTTAGAGTACTCGCCTTCGCAAGCTAAAGGACCCGGATTCGATTCCTGGGCAAAACGATGGATAAGTTTCCTTACTCCACTTGCCTGTTTTTTAAAAAAAATATTATAATAATATATAATATATTAACACTTAATCCATGACTGTTTGTGGGACACTGTTGTGTGCAATTGGCTGCCACGTTTCACCCACAGAATATAAAGTCAATTGACTTTATTGTGAAGCGCTTTGAGACGTTGCGAAGATGTGATAAGGCACTACATCAAACGCAAGGATTATTATTATCATATCATTAATGCTTACCCATCTTACCCAAGTTCTTTTTACATTGTTATTTGTGCTCCAATTCTTACCATAGCCATTTCTTCGTCCGATTTCATCTTTTTTAAATTGAGACCCTCCACTTGGCACACATTTCAATGCCCACTCATCCTTCAGTTTCAGCTCCTCGATCTGCTCATCTGTCAATCCCTGCATGTTGAGAGGTAGGAAGATGCCGTGCTCTGCCAATTCTCCAATTTCTATGAAAACCAAACCGTTTAGAATGAGTGCAAATGCTTGCAAGGTTCTAAAAAAAATCTGTTCAATCCAAATTAACCTTTTTTTAAAAAAAAACAAAATAAACTATTCTTTGGCTATTAGGAGACCATTTTGTCATAAAATACTAGAATACTTAAAAAAAAAGTTTTGGGTTTTATACATTTTTGTTCCGACAGTGTTGCCAGATCAATTAAGCAAGTCAGGAAAGGAGAAAACACGAGAAGTCAATCTGACAGACTCTCATATATTTCTGGTTACAGAGTAATACCTGCTTGACTGCCAACAGTTTACTCGTGCAAATCATTTCAAACCCTGGTGGGCCTGCACACAAACATCAATATTTAGCCTACAACAAATATACTGAGTGGTTCTGAACTCAGAACCCACAGGAGTTCTTTTCATTATCCACACAGGGCGATTTAAAAAAAATCAGTGATGCAGATGTTGCAAAGGTTCCTTTGGTGTGTTATTTACGTGTCACTAAATATAAAATTTTAAATCAATTTGGAGAACCCACACTCCTAAGAATCGAGTTGGCAACTATTCTCTCAATGTACTAATTTTACTGCTATATTTAATTTTTTATTATAAAGAAAATATAGACAGTGAAGACAAAATACATGAAATATTCATGTGTTTTGGATTACTTGTGTATTTTGGAACAATTCCACCCAACAGCAGATCTTATTGCTCTGATACACTATTACAGCTATTTAATTTATGAAGATAGTTTTTTGCCCATAGCGCAATCAGTCTTTTCTGTTTTTATTCCCTGCCATGTCCTGACAATGTGACAAGCTCTTTAGAATGCTCCAACCTATCTCTGGAATTTCCATGTATAGGTGGGATGCATGGAAATCTCAGTTTGGTTTGGATATTCTTGAGCACGGTGATGGGTTTCTGTATGTATCTGGCTGACCAAAAAAAATTCAGTACTGTAGTGGTCCACAGGCAGCCATTAGGCAATTAATTTAACAACTTGCATTTATGTCGCACCCTTTCATGCAGTATAGGTCATGGAAGCGAGACCCTCATCCACGCATTCATCACATCCAGGCTCGACTACGCAAACTCCCTGCTTGTCAGCCTCCCCAATGCCTCCCTCCACAGGCTGCAGGTCATCCAGAACTCTGCAGCCCGTGTCCTCTCCCTCACCAGCCTCCGCAACCTTGTCACCCCATCCTCGCCTGACTCCTTTGGCTTCCCATCACTCAGAGGATACAGTTCAAGATCCTGGGTCTCACCTTCAAAGCCCTCCAGGGCCTCACTCCTCCCTACCTCTGTGACCTCCTAACCCCATACAAACCTGTCCTCTCCCTCCGCCTTGCCCACCCCATCATTGGCAGGCAAGGGTTCAGCCTCTCTGACCCCACCCTCTGGAACTCAGTCTCCAGTCATCCCAGTCTCTCCTTCCCGTCCTCTCTTTTGCCTCCTTCAAGAACTGTCTCAAGACTCTCCTTCTCGACTGTGCTTTCAGTCACCCTCCTACCCCTCCCCTCCCCATATCTCCTGATCCCAACCACCAGCTCGGGTTTCGGATCCCTGACTGTCCAGCGCCTTGGGATGTCCTCCTGACGAGAAAGGCGCTATATAACCATAATTTGTTGTTGGTCCTCTTAACAGGACGGTTCAAACATTTTTACAATACTCACTCACCTCCACAAATCCTTTCGACTTTGAGCCTCCCATTGTAAATAGCTGTTATTTGGTTGGTTGCTTCACTTACAGGGACATCCACTGTAGTGCTAAACAGAAACTGGGGCTCATCACCACGCTTGATGTGTAACTGCACCATAGCTACAATAAAACAAAGTCAAACACAGTGTTGCATATCAGTATTCATGGATAAAATATCACTGCTTGAAGTCGACGGTCAGGGTTTAACACCTAGTCAATGCTATTTTTCATGACTGTAGTCTTATACAAGTTCCTTACAAAAAAATGGGTGTCCGCTCCCTCGGCTCAGCGGGTTTGCTCCATGTCCCATCCAGCCCACCATCGGTGGTCAGGGCTTCAGACTCTCTGCCCCCACCCTTTGGAACTCCATCCCCCATTCCCTATGCCTTGTCCCTTCCTTGCGTCCTTCAAGGCCCGTTTCCTCTTCGACCGTGCCTTCGGTCACCCTCCAAACACTACGTTCCCTGCGCTCCACCCCTCCCGATTCCTACCCCCAACTTGAGTCTAAATTCCTGACTCTCCAGCGCCTTGGGTCATCCTCCCAACGTAAAAGGCACTGTGTAAATGTAATTTGTTGTTGTTGTTCTTACTGACGCCAACAAAATGGGGCTCATAAACACATCTTATAATTTACCTGTATTTATTTTGTGCGATTTTGGGAAGAAAACATTCATTATGAAAACTATTGAGAAATCTAGGATTTCTTGTAGCTGCCGGGAAAGCATGTTTGCTTACAATAAATCCTGTAAAACAGCCACAAGTTTATTGTATTATTATATATTTTACCCTGGGGAAGGAGGTGGAGGAAGACAGGAAGGCACGGCGGGGGGTGGGGTGGGAGAGAAGAAAGAAACATGCCATCGCACTTAGGAATAACCCCTCTAAAGTGCGCGGGGCCATTATTATATACACCCACAAAATACACAGCCAATTCACTTCACAGTATATTCCATGAAGCACTTTGAGACGTCTCGATAAAGAGACGTGATGAGGCGCTACGTCAAATACATGGATGATGATTATTATTATCAGTTATTATTTATCTTATTATAGTTATTATACATTATCTTATCACTGTCTTCTTATAGTTATTATATATTACTCTATTATTATAGTTGTTATACATATTATTATTGTAATTATATATTATCTTATTATTAGTTGTTATACATATTATTATTGTAATTATTATATATTACCTTATTATGGTTATTATACATTATCTTATTATGGCTATTACAGTTATCACACATTATATTTTGTTATTGTAGTTATATATTGTTATGATGACGATGATAATGATCATTATTAGTCTTTATACAGTATCGTATCTCAAAAAGTAAGAAAAAGAAAGAAAATAAGGCCAGGGCCGGCCAGGCCAGGCCCGGGAGCTGCTGGCGGTTGCCATGGCGACGTGGCTAACACACGGGCCTCTCGGCCACTCCGCTCCCCTCCCCGGGGTGTTAGTGGGGGGGGGGGGGGAGTGTGAGGTGAGGTGTGTGTGGGGGGGGGAGTGTGAGGTGAGTGTGTGTGTGTGTGTGGGGGGGAGTGTGAGGTGAGTGTGTGTATGTGTGTGTGTGGGGGGGGAGTGTGAGGTGAGGTGTGTGTGGGGGTGTGTGGGGGGGGGGAGTGTGAGGTGAGGTGTGTGTGGGGGGGAGTGTGAGGTGAGTGTGTGTGTGTGGGGGGGGAGTGTGAGGTGAGTGTGTGTGTGGGGGGGGAGTGTGAGGTGAGGTGTGTGTGGGGGGGGGAGTGTGAGGTGAGGTGTGTGTGGGGGGGAGTGTGAGGTGAGGTGTGTGTGGGTGTGTGGGGGGGAGTGTGAGGTGAGGTGTGTGGGTGTGTGTGGGGGGAGTGTGAGGTGAGGTGTGTGTGTGTGTGGGGGGGTGTGAGGTGAGGTGTGTGTGTGTGGGGGGGAGTGTGAGGTGAGGTGTGTGTGGGGGGAGTGTGAGGTGAGGTGTGTGGGGGTGTGGTGTGTGGGGGGGGGTGTGAGGTGAGGTGTGTGTGTGTGGGGGGGAGTGTGAGGTGAGGTGTGTGTGGGGGGGGGGGAGTGTGAGGTGAGGTGTGTGTGGGGGGGGGAGTGTGAGGTGAGGTGTGTGTGTGGGGGAGTGTGAGGTGAGGTGTGTGGGGGAGTGTGAGGTGAGGTGTGTGTGTGTGTGGGGGGGGAGTGTGAGGTGAGTGTGTGTGTGGGGGGGAGTGTGAGGTGAGGTGTGTGTGTGTGTGTGTGGGGGGGGAGTGTGAGGTGAGGTGTGTGTGTGTGTGGGGGGTGGAGTGTGAGGTGAGGTGTGTGTGTGGGGGAGTGTGAGGTGAGGTGTGTGGGTGTATGTGGGGGGGAGTGTGAGGTGAGGTGTGTGTGTGTGTGTGGGGGAGTGTGAGGTGAGGTGTGTGTGGGGGGGGTGTGAGGTGAGGTGTGTGTGTGGGGGAGTGTGAGGTGAGGTGTGTGGGTGTGTGTGGGGGGGAGTGTGACGTGAGGTGTGTGTGTGTGTGTGGGGGGAGTGTGAGGTGAGGTGTGTGTGGGGGGGGAGTGTGAGGTGAGGTGTGTGTGTGTGTGGGGGGGGGGGAGTGTGAGGTGTGTGTGTGTGTGGGGGGGAGTGTGAGGTGAGGTGTGTGTGTGTGGGGGGGGGGGGGGAGTGTGAGGTGTGTGTGTGTGTGGGGGGGGTGTGAGGTGAGGTGTGTGTGTGTGGGGGGAGTGTGAGGTGAGGTGTGTGTGGGGGGGAGTGTGAGGTGAGGTGTGTGGGGGTGTGTGTGTGTGGGGGGTGTGAGGTGAGGTGTGTGTGTGTGTGTGGGGGGAGTGTTAGGTGAGGTGTGTGTGTGGGTGTGTGTGTGGGGGGAGTGTGAGGTGAGGTGTGTGTGGGTGTGTGTGTGGGGGGAGTGTGAGGTGAGGTGGGTGTGGGGGGAGTGTGAGGTGTGTGTGGGTGTGTGTGGGGGGGAGTGTGAGGTGAGGTGTGTGTGGGTGAGGTGTGTGTGGGTGTGTGTGTGGGTGTGTGTGGGGGGGGGAGTGTGAGGTGAGGTGTGTGTGTGTGTGGAGGGGAGTGTGAGGTGAGGTGTGTGTGGGTGTGTGTGGGGGGGAGTGTGTGTGGGGGGGGGTTGGGGGGTAATTTACAGTAACCCTGACCACCGGTCAGTAAATAAATGAACCCGCTCGCGGCTGGTGGGTGAGAGGAGCCGAGCCGGGCCCGGGCCCAGGGCGCTGCTGGCGGTTGCCATGGCGACGTGGCGAACACACGGGCCTCTCGGCCGCTCCGCTCCCCTCCCCCGGGGGAGGGGAGGGGGTCCCGTGTGTGATGAACCCGCTCGCGGCTGGTGAGAGGAGCCGGGCCGGGGCCGACCGGGGCTGACCTGCTCGGCTCGGCCTGTCCTGAGTGTCCGTGTCGCTCTCGGGCCTCCGCTCTCGGCTGCTCTGTGGCCCCGGAAGAACATTCGATCACCTTCTGCCCCTCTCTCTCTCTCTCGCCTCGTCTCGCGCACGCGCGGCCAGAGCCACGCCCCCCCCAGCCCCGCTGGCGTCTCGAACCACGTGACCGAGTTGGGCGGGTTTTGGGGGCGGGTTTCACGTCCAATTTGGGCGGACGCGACGGGCAGAATGGCCTCCTTCTGTGCTGTATAATTCTATGATTCCATGAGGATATAAGATCCATTCAGGGTGTTGCTGACAGAAAGATGGAGCTCTATGAGATTTCATGTGCAAACTCTATCCAGAACCTTGGGACGTCCTCCTGACGTGAAAGTCGATATATAAATGCAATTTTTTTGCTGTATATTTGGGAGATTTGTTTTTGTACATTGATGAGTTCATGTAGTTTAGTACTCTGAATGGCATGAATATCACGTTGAAAATTCAGCCCAGGGCTAGCAATAGGCTTCCATATGACACCAAAGATTTCTATTCCATTCATTCAAACTACTTTCGAGTTAAAACTGATCATTTTTAAGTGTCTAGGAGAGGTGCACAATTGTAGATGTTTTATTTAAAAATGAGCACAATCCTATTCTCACTGACATTTTAAAGAAAAAAAAGGCCACACAATGCAAGAAATGCAACTGTAGAATACAGCGATGTTTATTGCATTAAGACACAACACATACTTCACAGAATATGTACAATTTACTATGCAGAGTCTTAATACTGCAGTCCTTCAGAAAGGATTAAAACAAAACATTTACTGAATACTTCATAATATACCACATTTAATTTGTAGGATTACACATTGATAAAGTAGGACACTTCAGAGATCAGGAAATCTATAAAAACTATAAACAGCCAAGGTTACTACATTGCTATGGACTGAGACAGTGCAGTTAGGACTTTGTAAACATTGTTAAGGTGTTGCAAACCACATTACATATTCCACTTCTTTCATGAACCATGAAAGGCAGTACTGTAGAAAGCTTAAGTTACCACAAACTGGCAATTTGCACAAGGGCAACACCTTACTTACACACTGAAAGTTTTAAGTTTAGATACTAGAATTACATTTTGTACACTTAGACACAGTTCAGCTGAAATATGACCAGAAAGTGTTTTTTTTTAATATAACAGCATTGCACCACAGGCAAAAAGAGCAGCATCAAGCACTTTTGATAAAGCCTCCTTTGGATATCAGTAGTAAGAACTCAGCCAATACACTATCCTATAGCAAGACTGCAAGAAAAAAAGTGAATATTTCCACCAGCGTTTTAACCAAATTCCTTATTTAATGAAGGAACTTCTGCACTTCAGGTCAGTTTCTGAAACATCAAATTGATAAAAGACATGGTACCACATATTGGTTTCAAGTGGACCAAAAGGATGACTTACCAGCTTTATATGCAACTTTTTTGGACAAATGTTTTCATAAAAACTGTGGAATTTTTGCCTTTATCTGAACACCGGCAATCCAGAGTCAAGAGCCTGTGACGCACACCTTACCAGATTGATATCTGTAAAGTATATCAAATCAGGGGAAGAATGGAATTTTAATGCTAGAAGAATGATCTACTTAGAAATATTTATGAGGCTTTAATGATTCAACAGATTGCAGCTTTTGTTCTGCTCCCATATCCTCTGCAGACCCCAAGATCAACTCGTAATGTGTGTGTTTTTCTCTCTTTTTAACTTAATTGTGCCACGTGTGTGTGCGTGTGTGACCAACAACATTAGGTAATAAAAAAAAAGATCAGTAAGCTATCAATCGATTTGTAGGCAGAAAGTTTAGGGGTTAGGGATTCATGCTCTTTGACATGAGGAATGTTAGTGGTGGAAAAGATGGAACATTTTTAATTAATGTATTAATTAATGGTCAAGCATTGAGGTCAGGTATAAAAACATAACAGTTAATGTATTGTTGTGCTGCTTTTCTCAAATGTAAATGTAACTTTGTCGTTGCTCTTATACTGAATCCAATGTGAATGTCTAGTACACTGATAACAAGATGACCTGGAAGAGATAATCTCAATAACAACAACAAATTACATTTGTATAGCGCGATACATGTCGGGAGGACATCCCAAGGCGATGAATCTCACAGCAGTGAACAAGTCCATCAGCTAAAGTATAAATCAGACAGTGTGAACCCCACCCAAAACACACTCACACACAACCTACCATATCACCATTCACATTTTAATGAATATAAAGGATTGACGATCACACAACCTTTTCTCTCCTGCTCCCCCCATTGGTAATAATCTTCATAGGCAGTGAGCATTGATAAACCAGTGGTCTGAATACTTGTGTGTCCTTCCTGAATTTTATAGTTCTATGACTGAGCAGTGAAAGCTAATCTCCCTTTCAAATCCCTGTGAAAGTGCAGCTATTTTAAATTAAAATTAAAGTGCCATAAAGATCCGACCCCTCAGCCCAAGCAACGTGCATAAACCTTAATTTAGAAAGGGCATCTCCCACTGCAGCAGCTCGCATTGGCCATTCTGTGTGGGCTTTCTGCACCCGACGGTCAGTTTGGTGAGTCAATGAAAAAGAACAGACAGTTTTTGTGCTGAATCCACCGCCCCAATCTGTAGATGAAGGAAAACAAATCACAGGGCAACGGTGTTGTACTGCATTTTTTAGATGTTTTGCATGCAGTTCGAGATATGTCAGCAGAAGGCATTAGAAAAATGCAAGCTTTCTTTCCAGAAATTTGTTTTAAAAAAATGTAAAAAAATGAAAGTAGAGAAACTTTGCTTTTAGGTAGGGACACACTTAACCTGTGCGTGGGTGGGGGGATAAAACACAGGTAACACACACAATACAACTGCAATTACATTGGGAGTTTTGGTTTGTGTTGAAATGTGCTTCTGCATTCAGCTTCTCAGTGTCGTTGCTTAGCATAGTTGTACTTTGCATAGGTGCAAAACAAGTGCAAAATATTAGGTCTCAAACAGAAAGTATCCCCTGATGAATGAGATGCAATTTAGAACAGAATTTTTGAAAGCGGGGGCTGCAAGAGGCAAAAGGAATCATGAGCTTTTTTGGTAAAGGAGGCTTGGGGCTTCAAAGCGGGAAACACTTGGAATACTTTCTCGTTTCAGATAACTAGGGACAATATCAAGCACTTCTCAGATACGCCACAGCTATAGTTTCCTGTATTCTACTCTAACTTAAGAAAAGCTTGCACTGGTGGTGACATTTCCCACATCAGTCATTCTTGTGGGCTCTCAGAATGAGATTTCCAACCTAGTGCCAATTAGAAAGCTTTGTGCTGAAGGCATGTGGCCACCAGAAGATGGGAAGAGATAGTCCAAACCCATGTCATGTAAAAGCCTAATAGCATCCAGGGTTAGGACAGATCATCAGTCTACACTCAATCTGAACCCAAGACCAGAAGTGAAAGGATAGCATGTTAAACCACTATTCACAAACAAAAAGTCTCTGACCACCGATTTTTAAGTTTAGAATACCCAAATATAATAGTAGTTTTAGCATAAAAACGTCAGAAAACGTAAGCCATTTCTTACAAATGCTCAAAACAATGCAAATATTCTGTTCATAACAAAGCAGTCGCAACATTCTAGCATTGAATCATTACTACACAACCTATCGTGACTGCAGAGTTGCGGCAAGTTTGGGTTGACAGATTCAGTTAGAACGGCATTACTGTACTTTCACTATAACCAGAACGCAAATTGCGCATTTGTAAAAGTATCAGTCGTGTAATCCGTAGCAAACGTATTTTCCGCAGCCCTCTAGCATCAATCATTTTTGAATTCATATTGCATTCTGGATCAATTCCCAATATCTAGCCAATTTGTTGATACCACATCCAGGTCAACTTTGAAGTATGCACTCTATAAACAAAATAAAATCTTCTGCTGACCTCAGAGAACTATTACCAATTTATTTTTATGTAACACCAGTTCAGGATCAGTTCTAAAGAGACATCCCCAGTGCTCTGATTGACATTTCAACACAACATATTGCACATGTAAAGCCCTGACAAAGAATTAAAACAATGCGTTACACAGCATTTTGGTTTTGACATCTTATCTGAAGGCCCTCATCTTTCTGTAAACTCCTGTTTGGGAAACAAATCAGGTGCCTGCGACGTGAATGGCAGGAGAGGTGGAGTGACATGCGACCGCACGGGTATAGGGGGTGCTCTTCGACCTGGTAGAGAGCGTGAAGAACCAACCGCCATACTGCTTGGATTCCAGTCACTGCCAAATCCAAAATCTGTACCAGGAAAGGATTTCTCGGTGGATGGCAATGAAGAAAAACTCCCCCGATCTTCGTTCGATGCCTTCTGGGTGTGGATCAGTTTCGCATGGGTCACTACGTTTTCCTTTCTTAGATTAAAATCGTTGTCCTCAAAGGTCACCCATCCGCTTTTGTCGTTCGTAGCAGGTTTACTCGGAAAGAAATCGGTGCCTGCAAAAGGATTAAAAGTAGCTTTGCCTGCCCCGGCTTCAGCGATCGATGGCGCAGTAGACAGGATTGGGAAGCTGCTGCTGGTTTCCACAGAGGTGGGGTGCAGTGAAACAGGGGACTTTTGAACAGTGTTGGCAGAGTCGGTCCTAAATGGATTCTGGTTGCTTTTTCCGGTGAAAGGGTTTGAGTTGCACGTTTTGTTATCCGGCGCACAGCCGAAAGGATTGGGCGAGACTCGGAAGCTCTCCTGCGATTTGCTTCGCGGGGGAATCGGTGGTACGAATGGCATGCAATTATCTTGTGCGGATGCGGCAGGCTGGTTGGTCTCTTGCTTGATTGAGGTTGGAAACACTAATATGGAGGGATGTGCTGGTGGCTGTAGCATTGAGCTTCCACTTGACAACAGGGCCTTTGTCCAAGGGTCAGCAAGCCGGTCAAATGAAAGGTCAGCAAACGGGTCACTATTAGATGATCCTCCATTGTTAATTCCATTACTGCTTCCGTTGTTCAGCTGCGTAAACAAAACGAGAATTTATCCTTAGTGCAACAAGTCCTTTTATGGATGCATTTGAATATTCAAAAGTACCGTTTTAGATGAACTGAAATCTAATTGGAGATGCGCTTTTAAAGTTACTCCCTGGTTTACACTTGCTGGAATGCAAACTATATTGCATGGAGCTATTAGAGTGATGTGGAGCAGGACCCTGAATATACTTACCATATTAATCTAGGAATAAGGACTTTTGCATCTGTGCAATTTGGGGATTCTGCACAATTTGCTTGTGGATCACATCACCCTAACTCCATGTTAAACTGCAGCTTCTCACAAGTCACACAGAGAAAAGCATAGTGTTAGTTTCCAATTTTCTCCTTGGATCATACACCGGCTGAGCTCCTCCCAGGGTTCTATCTCTGCAGGTTAGCTGGACACAAGGAAACGCACAGGACCATATCTTCCCAACATTGGGAGGAGATGCTTGGTCTCCACTCAGCAATGCAGCAGAGATTAGAATCTCAGCAGAATGGAAAGTCTAAGCTGTATCTCACCACGTAGTGGAGCATTGGCATCGTCAAACATACCGGACTACCACACTGCAAAATATCCGTAATCTTATTGCTCTTTGTATGGCTTACTACTTTATCCCAAGTGGACAGAATCATTGGAGATTTCATCAGAAAGGATTACATATATTTATGATTGCAAGCTAACAAAACGAGTGACGAGGAGGTGCATTCCTGCATGGTAATAGCGTACATAGGGTGGGTCTTCTGGAGGACTGAGATCAGATGGGCCAAGGGGTCTTCTTCATCCGAACTAATCTTGTGGTTATAATTACATCCATTTATATAGCTCCTTTTATGTGAAATAATCATCTCAAAGCCTCTTATAAAAAACAATAATCCTTGTATTTGATATAGCGTCTAATCACGTCGTTGAGACGTCTCAGAGCGTTTCACAGAATACACTGTAAAATGGATTGACTGTTTATTTTGTGGGTGAAACACAGCAGCCAACTGTGCACAACAGTCACCCACAAACAGTCTTGGATTGAGTGACTGAGGTTTCTTTTTTTTTTGAAGAGATTATAATCCCCGAAACGCGATCCGTCAAATGACTAACAACCGGGCTCCTACTTATTGCTAGGTAACAGATGCGTGAGGAGTGAGGAAACTTGCCTAAGGTTACACCCTGCCTAGGAATCAAAATTAATTGATTTAAATGGATTAAATAAAAGGGCACAATTTCTAAGATTTTCTTCAATAAGAACGCAGCTACATTTTGGCTCAGAAACACGATTGACATATATCTGCTATTCATCACTGGAGGCAGAACCTCAGTTTCATAGTGGAGATTAATGCAGATTTAATTACAGATTTTCTCACCATTTAGGGAAATGGAAATCATTTATCAAATTATATTTTATTAAATCTCTAATTTTAAAAAATGGTTAATAAATTTAGGTAAAATTTATTATAATAATCCTTGTATGTGATATTGATATTATGTTGTTGAGATGTCTCAAAGTGCTTCACAGAATGTATTGTATTGTGGATTGACAGTATTTTGTGGGAGAAACATGGCAGTCAATTGAGCATAGCAGTGTCCTACAAATGGATTGAGTGACAAAATTCTTTTTTGTGGGATTATCTTCAACCCGAGTGGCTCAGTGTTTATCCAATGAGCGATAGTCCTTAAAGACAGGAAGGTCCCAGGTTCGAATCCCAATCTGTGCCAAGTGAACTAACCTCAGCTCAGGGTGAGCAATAGCATTACTGAGTTCCGAGGGATAAAAGGAGCATTTATTTAGGTATCTAATGCCTATTTATCCAAAGATTGCTGAAGTTGCATGCATATATGTGAACATTGAAAGACGACATGATTAGGCTTGACTGCACTGCTTCCCCATGGTTGAATAGCCAGCCAGCACTCACTGTAACAACAACAATAAATTACATTTGTACAGCGCTTTTCACATCGGGAGGAAGTCCCAAGGTGCTGAACAGTCAGAGATTTGGACCCGAGGAGGGGGTTGGGATCAGGAGGGGTGGAGGGCTGTAATGGTAGGCATAGGAGGATGACCGAAGGTGCTGACGAAGAGTAGGGTCTTGAGACAGGCCTTGAAGGAGGCAAGGGAGAGTAAGGCGAAGGGGATTGAGTTCCAAAAGATGCGAGGCAGAGAGGCTGAAAGCCCGACTGCCGACCGTGGGGCAGGCCGGGCAGGGGGGCGAGAAGCAGCCTGGAGTCTGCTGAGCGGAGGGAGCAGACATGACAGTATGAAATACTCACTCTTGAGAAAAGTATCGAAGTGCGACTGAGCTGTAGCCCCAGCAAGAGAGAAAAAAAATTCTTCAGGAGGGGTAGGGATAAATACAGGGAGAGATACACCTCAGAAAAAGCTAATCTTTACAAGAGAAGCAACGTTAGCAAGGTTATATTTTAAAGATGTCCAAATGATAATGATTTAATGCATACTGATGTCCAAACACTTCATGAAAGTATGAGAAACAATACAGAAATGTTCTTCTCTTGCTTTGCAGACTATATTAAGCAGAGACTATAATATTGATAAATATTTCTATGGTTTATGATATAAACACTTGTTGAATTAAAAATGATGGTTTGGAACTAGATCTAACGAATGAAGAACATAAAAATTAAAACGCTGTGGTCATTATTTAGTGAAATGATGGGAGGTTTCACAGGAGAGGCACAATTGCTAATGTATGAAGCAGCACATTGTGTATGGCAAAACAAATTATATAAGATGTTATTAGAACCATATAAAAGATTGTAAATTAATTCGATACCTTTCACCCTGATGGCTGTTCCTGCTTGTGAGAAAGAGACAGTAAACATCAGACAAAGGAAAGAAGGAGAGAGCCTGGCGTCTCAAACACGCTACACTACTGCAATGCTAAGCATCAAAAGTTCCCTCCTCTGAATAAACATTTTCAATATATTTGCAACACCACTGCATATTTCACGTCCCCAATCAAGAACAGCAAGTAATAAATAACATAAAACTCAACATATCCGTAGAGACGGTTACTAAATATTACCAAACAATACAATAAACAACAAGTTCAAAGAAACGCAGGACGTACCAGTAAACAAACCTTTTTTTAAAAAAAAAACAAATGTCGGAATCCTTACTAAAGCACCACATGATTGCAGACAATGCACCGTACAGGAAAACAGTGCAACACTCAAGTTTATTCAACAAGTCGATTGCCGTATCAGTCAGGTCTAGAATTTAATCGGAGCTCATTGTGCACGACTTAGTTATGATGGTTTTACTTGCGGTATTGAATAAACTGATCATTTCACTGTTCTAATGTACGTATTACTTACTTACGCCGTGCATAGAAATTTCCAACAGCATTCAACAGTTTGTGCTACCATCTCTCCCAAAGAACGATTAAATTCAGTGAGTGTCTTTACATTTTAACATGAAACTTCAACCTCTGCCCTCATACGTTTGCGAACCGTAATTTCAAAGTGTCACCTTGTCCGAGTCTGTAGGGCCAATTTTTTTCTTCAAATGTAAGAGCCATCAATAAAGATTGAACAGGTTACAGGTTTTCTCTCTGAATATATGATTGAGAGGGGACCTTATAGAGATGTTTAATATTATGAAGGAATTTAATAAGATGGACATTAAAAAGCTGCTTTTTAAGCAGGGAGACGTAAAAGATAGCCAGTAGCAGGGAGATGAAGTGCAATTTCTTGAAGTAGAGGGTGGTGAGAATATGACAGAAGCTGTATTTGAAGCAGAAAGCATCAACGTATTCAAGAGGAAACTTGATGCCTAAATGAGGGAGAAGGGAATATAGGAGTATAGAAAAGGGGTTTAGGAGCAATGGAGGCTCATGTGGAGGAGAAACATCGGCAAAGACTATTTGAGCCAAATAGCCTGGTTTGGTGTAATTCTGTGCAAGATCTCACAGAATTGGGGAGATCCCTAAATTCCGTTTTAAATTTGAAAGCCAGTTTTTATGCAGTTATTAATAAGAGCCAGTTTCCAAATTCAGATTAAACTGAAGATTTGTTTTCAAAGAGTTTTGCGTGATCTGCGATTTGAAGACAAAATGGCTTTGCAGGTTAAGTTCAGGTTCAATTTTGGGCCTTTATCTTCCCTCAAGAATGTTTAGAAAAAAATCTCTCGAGACAGCAGCAGTTCCAGATTCTGGCATGAGAAAAATTGAAGATAAATTGAGTTGTCTATTTAAAAATCAAAGAAGTTCAATTTTTAAATGGTTACATTAGTACTGTAAAGAGAAATATAAAATAAAAAGACCTTGCAACTGGCTATCGAATGGAGAGCACTGAAGTGGCAAGAGAAGGATTACTATAGGGGTTATTTTCCACATTGTGACAGTCGAGACTGTCAAGCAAAGTACATCCCAATAGGGATTGAACAGAGAAAGCAATAAAAAGAAAGATCAGGCAGGGTAAGATGTTCTTTTGCATAAGCAACACCAGTAAAGGGTAGCACTCTTTTTACTGGGTAGCATCAGAAACAGTGTGATTTTACAGCAGTGAGGCTGATAGATGTTTGGATAGAGAGAGAGAGAGATGTGCACAATTTAATTTCAATGCTGGATTTCGGAAATTGCAGGCAAAGCAAGCACATTTGCTCAATATGTTATTCCAGTTAAGTCTGTTCAAAGGGCTATTCAGTCTTACTTGGCATGAATGCCAAATGCTAACAATTTTCTACAAGTTGGGAGAAAGAATTATGCAAATCTCTGCATAACAATGTTCTTAAATCATATTTTCTTGAAATGGACTAAATCAAACTGATTCCGAGGGGATGTCCAACAGAGTTAAGTGCGTCGCTACTTACCTGTGTTGCACCAGTAGGCTCTGTTGGCAGATTCTGGGCAGATTTGCTGCGGGGCGGAGGCTGGGGTGGTGGAGGCTCTAAGCTCTGAAAAGGGGGTGGCGTCTGTGAAACTGGTTTCAATCCGATGGGTTTCAGGGGGTCTTGCAGTTTGGGGGGACCTGTTGGGGGAGGATGTGGTTGAAGAGGGGTAGCAATCTGTGGCTTAAGTGGTTCTGGTAAAAGCATAGGCCCTGATGAAGAGACAGAAAGCTGGTTAATTGGTACCCAACTCATCAGTTCAAAGTGTAGCTTCGCTTTTTTAAAAAAAAATGCAAGTCAATACATTTCCGAGGTATTCAGTATGAAAAAAACTCTTACAAGTGCAACACACAAAAATGGTGGGTTAAAAAGCTTCCAAAAAACATTTAGGTGAGCAAGTAATGTGGCATTTTTTCCATCAATAACCCCAAGATTCCACATGGATTTGACCACTTTGCTTTAGAACTGATGGTAGATCATTGGGTCAAAGAATCAACAATTGCTTTTTGTGCTGTGTTTATAAGATGGAAGTGAAGCCAAACTGAATGGATCCACTTTATTACCATAATAATAATTCTAACCCACTAATATAAATGTAAAGTCACATTTGAAAACCCAAACATTTGGAACAACTTTGTCCTGTGCTTGCCCTGCCACACGTTTTCCCTTTTATTTTATTGCTATGGCCTACTTGTTATTCTTTTTCAACTACTTTTTTAGTCTACCTCTTTTTCTACTTATCATAATCTCAACACTCACTGAATTTAAACCATCAACCATAAAACATATATTTCCCCTTGTTGATTCCTGCTCCCACTGTCAATTTGGAAAAGGTAGCAACATCTGGTAAAAATGTTAATGGTTTGGACTGAAAATAATGATTTCCTTCAGGCAAAATTCAAGCTGGTTTAGAGTCAATGAAAAGTTGAGAAACTGAAGATTAAAGCGTTGATTTATACAAGCCACCGATTGTGTTCATGTCTAAACCACAAATGTGTTAACCACAGAGAACGCAAATGAGTTATCTTTGTGAACCTGGCCAGCGTTATTGATCGCCAGTTTGTTTTCAAAGAAAAAGTTCAGGTTCAGGAGAGTAAACTTTAAGAATCCCTTCAAGTTTACAGAACTGAACGAGCTTAGAATAGCTCTTCACAAGAATAGCAGAGAGCGTGGAATGAAAAAAAGGCCCTTTGGCCCAATGTGCTGCTTTTTCTTCCAAGCACATGCAAATCTAAACCCATCAGTATCTCCTATATAAATACTGCATTGAGACTCCCTGATCTCCCGCCATGCCACCAAAGATAATCAAGCTATTCAAACCCAGCCTGTTTCCTGCCGAAGACATTTTTTCCAGCCCTAGAAATCAAACGAGTTGCAGGACAAACCCACAAGAACTTCTTGGAGGTTATACAGTTTGCACAATAGACTTCCATTTTCAAAATAAGTGATTCCTCATTAAAAAACAGCTACGAGACCAGCAATATTAGACAATAATCTCAAACCTTAAGATGCACACTCTGTCAGAAACGCCTGGTTACAGAGACTGCAAGAAACCATGGTGGAGTGCAATTCAAGAGTACATCTAGCGGTTTAAAACCCTCAGGACACAGCCATGCAAGTTATCATGGAAGTTATTCAAACCATTTGTACTATCTACAATGTATAAATTGTTGGGTAAAAATTCCATTCAGCGTTACACACAATGCCTTCACCAATGTCAGCCTCTGAAGGGATTTCCCATTATTGTTGCACATCATGAATGTTGCTGCAAGTAATACGGAACAGAATTTTACCCTCATGAGTAAATTCATATCTACAAAGGAAATCACTTATACCCTTAATGATACATAATTAACAATGAACAGGATTTGTCCTAATTAATACATTGAGTTGTTAAGTCTATCATTAAAGGCACCTGTAATTCTCTCTGTCCAGATGAATTTATATATGGTTTTACACATGCTGCAATATTTCCAATACATTTACCAAATTTGCATAACAGACCTCGATATTTTGTTGATAGTAAGAATTACTATAAGAATTTGCATTATGCACAAAGAAAACAATAGTGCAAAAATATTACCTACAATTCCTTGTCTTTAGACCATATTTTGAGAATAACAATGAAAGAGAATAGGAAATACAGGAGTTTTTTATTTAATAAAAAGGATATGTAGGGCTACAAAACCCTATAGCTAATAGGCATGTGGAACAAACTACGAGCAAAGGTAATAGGAAAAAAAAGCTGAATGGCTTTGAAAAGGAACGATAAGTTTCTGCCAACTGAAAGGATTCAGGATTATTAGGGTTTAGAGATGAATACACTGAAGGAATCTTGGAGGAAATTGATTGGTTTGTCTGGATGGTTTATTTCGGTCTATAATTCTTACTGTGTTGTTATATGCTTAGTGCAAAATCTTTGTACAAAATTGGATGACGAAGGAGGGAGATTACCTACATTCCTGACCTCTGTCAAACTCACTCTGCAGTTCCATTTCAATTGTCGTGGGTAACTCCTGGGTAACCCGTTACATTATCATACAATGATATGGTGTCCAACTGCAACGCAATGCTAGAATTCAAATAATGCTGAGCGGCACATGGCAGCCATGTAAATTTCAGTAAAGTCTCCACATTTTTGGTAATTCAATCTGCTGTCTTAACTATATTGCTCTACCTCTTCTGTTCAGTGAGCCACTTGGCAACGAGTAATGTTGATTCCAAGGCTGTATATTTCACATCCATCCAATACACATATATATATACAAAAAATAGTTACTATTTTACGGAAAGGAATATTACAATTGCTGACAGAGAAGAAATCTAACTGAAAAAATAGTGGCCAATATTGTAAAGCAAGGTGGGCTGGGCTAACCTTTTTGACTGCTGAGGGCCACATGTCCGATTTGAGAAGCGTCTGCATAAGCAACATTTTTGTGTTTCCCTTCCAGAAACATAACGTAACATTTACGTGTTATGGATGGAGCGGTGGGCAGATGAAATGGAGGTGAGGGGGGGGGGGGGGGGGGGCGGATGCGGCCCATGGTCCACCAGTTGAATCACCCTGTTGGAAAACGTGACTGGAAAGTGGAAATTATTGAAAGGTGTAAAGCAACAAAATAATCTGAATAAGGCTAGCGGCAAAGGATTGGTGTATTGCTGGAATGATAAAAGCAAGTGCTTGTATCCCTTGCTCCTGACCTTTGTTTTATTGTACGGTATGGAAGAGGGACAGAAATAGATCAAAGCAGAGCTCATCTTCATCCTCGCAGGGAAGGGGTAGGGGGAGAGGGCGACGGTAAGGGGGAAAGGCGAGAGCGGCTCTGTTACTTACCTGAAGCCACCTAGTGGTTGGCTACAGAGCACTTCAAACCTGAGAGAAGATAGTTTGCTTCACCCAATTGGAAAATCATCAATAGCATGCGTACGAGGGAGGGGAGGGGGAACAATCTTTAAGGGAAGCAACTAAATAAGTCCTTTTGTTTTAAAAAAAGGAATATGGAAAGAGGAACTATAAAACAGGAACTAAAAATAAGATGACAAGTGAAACTCTACAAGTCTTTATAACACTCTTGAAAATCCATACCTTTTGATGGTACTAGCAGCTTGCTCTGAGCATCTGGTAGTGGACCTCCGACAGCTGGTTTTACATGATGATGTGGTGCACTGATAACTCCAACTCGAGGTGGTATGTTCTGTATGAACAAACACACACACACGTAACTAAATGTTTTCTAAACAATTTTGTGAAGGCAAGAATGCAAATCAAACAAACCAAATCTCCTCTCACCTCTCTCTAGTTGCAATAAATACATAAGCAACAGTTTGCATTTATAAAGCACCTTTCATTCGAGGTAGCGTCTCGGACTGCTATAATAATAATAGTAATCCTTGCATTTGATATTGTGCCTTATCACGTTGAGATGTCTCCAAGCGCTTCATAGAATATAATGTAAGTCGACTGACTATATTTTGTGGACGAGAAAGCAGCAGCCAATTGCACATAGCAGTGTCTCACAACAGTCGTGGATTGAGTGACCAAATTATTATTATTATTTTATTTTGTTTTTGAAGGGATTATTATTCCCGAAAAAACAATCCCCCAATCGACTAACAACCTAGTTACTGCTAGGTAAACAGAGGCGTGTCGAGTAAGGAAACTTGCCTAAAGTTTCGCCCCACCAGGGAATTGAACCAGGGTCCTTTCGCTTGCGAGGCGACTGCTCTAACCACTACACTACAGGACTTCATTCTCCGAAGCTATCCGAACATAAAAGTAGTATCCAAACAAGAATCGTGTTAAACTCTACTATGTGAAACGTACCGGTCTGCATGTGGATCCTGAACTTAATGTTGTCTGCACAATTGTTGGACCACGGCCTAAAGGGGGGGGAAAAAAAACACACAAGAGTGGTGGATTGCATCAACTTTGATATTAATGTTTGCTTTTGGACTAGACTATTTCAATTGGTATAGGAATTTACCTTCTTCTAGTTCTTTTCTGGCTTGGGCTGGGCTTTGGGGGACTGAGCAGCATACGGAGAGAATTAAGCAAATGTCACAATTTTTGTAAACAGACATTCATTATTTTGCGATACTGTACACAGATTACACATTCAGCATGCACGATCAATCCGGGTTTCAATTTAAAACAAAAAAAAACAGCAAATTACACCGATTGCAATTCTCAAAGTGGAATGCCCATTATCTCCCCCTCCAGGGGCTCCAGCTTATAATTGCTGGGACTTTCTAATCAATGCCTTTCAAATTCAACTACTAGCTATACTGGAAAGTGAATGAGTGATGAGAATTGTGAAGGAAGCTCATCTATTATGGTGCTGTACCACTCAACTGGTTGTCTACGGCAGAACCTTATAGTGGTAGCTTTCAAAAGGGAATTGGATAGGTACTTGCTAAGGAATGATTTGCAGGGCTATGGGTTTAAGAGTGGGGAAGTGGGACGAGTTGGATATCCGGCACAGGCACAATCGGCCTCCTTCTGTGTGCTGTAGGATTCTATAATTCTAACTCGGTTACAAAGCATTCCCTTAGAACGGTGGTTGGCTTATAAGGTGGGTTCACTGTGGATCTGAGGGTGGTTTGAGCGTGAGGGCTGGTCTAGTTCCCACACTAAATGCTAAAAATACATGACCTGCTTCCAGGTCGTAAGACCCTTGTCTACATTACTTTGTATATACTGTGATGAGTATTATTTTTAAGATGAGTGATTCTGGAAGCGTTTTAAATCCCAGTCCGACCCATCGAACATCCTGATCAATTTTACATCTACTTCCAGTACATCCCCAGTCATCACTGGTCACCAATGACCAGCTTGGAAGCACAAGTACCAACTGCACTACTCGAGCAACCAGAAACAGAAACATTTTAAACAAATCATATTAATAAATATAACTTCTTATAATGCTACGCTCATTTTATAGGAAGATGGTGATTAAAATACATTTTATTGCTATATGAAACGCAAAAGTGAAGTAATAATAGCCTCAAAGTCTGTAGACGACAATTAAATGACGCATGCACAAACCATCCAGGTTAACTAGTTATCTTAGCACAAACTTCAAAAAAAAANTCAACATTCTAGGTTAACTGTAGTTTAAGTCTTTACATGCTATATTTCTGTTACAGCACAAACGACAGTTACCTTCCAATTCCTTCCTAGCTAACCCTGGACTGACAGGTGCCCCAGGACCTTATGAGAAAAGAAAAGATGTTCTCTATATGGAAAACATAACAGCAGACGCAGCGAGCACAGAAAACAACAAACCATAGCAAGCTGTGAATACAAGAGGCGGAAAGCCAAGCATTTACACTCAATAGATTCCCCCCATTAACCTTTAATTAAAAATTCCAATAGCAACAAAACTAAAAAATGATGAATATGGGAGGTGGATTTGGTGGAGAGCCTGCACAACTTTGCTTGCACTACACAGATACGCTCATCGGATATCAAATGCATTAAAAGGAGGTGTTCACGTAAATCTGAATAGAGTTCCATAGTCCAATAATGTTCAAAGAGTCAGTGCAGCAACGCATAGATTTTTTTTCGCCTCAGCTTTCGAAGTTGTTTAAGACCAATATAAAACTGCATTGTTGCAGCAGATTATTACTTCTGACAAGAGATGAAGCTTCTGCAAACTGGTCAAAGGTAAGTGATGGCTGGTGAAGTTCAAGACCGTGTCAACAGTGGTTAGAAATTAATAATAATAATCTTTTCATTTGATATCACGTCGTTGAGACAGCTCAAAGCACTTGACTGTATATTATGCGGTTAAAACGCGACAGCCAATTCTGCACAGCCTTGTCCCACAAACAGTCATGGATCAAGCAACCAAATCATTTTCTTTTTAAAAGGGATTATTAAATTGGGTGAAAAGGTCCTCAAGATTTTATTAAACATATATATCAAGCGATAATAATAATCCTTGCATTTGCTATAGAGCCTTATCACGTCATCGAGACGTCTCAAAGTGCTTCACAGAATAGACTGTAAAGTGAATTGACAGTAGATTTTGTGGATATGAAAATGACTCGCAGTCAGTCCATTATATGTTGATCCAAATCAAACAATTACCCAGTTAGTCACTGTTTAAGCCGCTGAGAAAGTGTACATGAAGCCAACAGAGATGGTAAAGTCCGTGCATTGGAAACAGCACAATCAAAAAAATGTAATACCGGACTGGAACAAAAAACAAAGAAGCATCTATACTACTCAGAGAAGTCAATATAAATAAATTGAAAGACACAAATCCTCATTAATGAGGGGGGGCTATCAGCTATTTCTATGAAGATGCTCTCACTGGTGGTGTAGCAATCCTGTAATTTAATCCAAACCACATATGCAATGTCTCCTTGCCAGTGTAAAAAGCTGCTAGTGGCATAGCCACTACATGCAGTTACAGGCAGGGCGAAACCTTGGGCAAGTTTCCTTACTCCACACAGAGCCTAATAATAATCCCTCCAAAACCAAAAACAATAATAAATTGGTCATTTTCAATCTACGACTGTTTGTGGGACACTGCTGTGCGCAATTGGCTGCTGCGTTCGCCCACAAATATACAGTCAATTCACTTTACAGTATATTCTGTGAAGTGCTTTGGGACGTCCTCCTGACGTGAAAAGCGCTATATCAAATGCAAGGATTATTATTATTATGCTGTGCCAGATATCAGTACTGGCTGATTGTTGGTTTGCATTTCTAATTCCCAACATAGCAAGTTTACATCATTACCTACACTTTTAGTGAACCCAGAGAACTTTCCATTAGTGAGGAATAATAATAAATAATAATCCTTGCATTTGATATAGCGCTTTTCATGTCTTCTCGACGTCTCAAAGCGCTTCACAGAATAGACTGTAAAGTGAATTGACTGTATATTTGTGGGCGAACATTAAAGATTAAGAATTTAACAATAATAATATTAATAATCCTTGCATTTAATCTAGTGCCTTATCACATCTTCGAGACGTTTTAAAGCTCTTCACAGAATGCACTGTAAAGTGGATTGACTGCATAGTTTGTGGGCGAAATTGGGCAGCCAATTACGCACAGCGGTGTCCCACAAACAGTCGTGAATTGAGTGACCAAATTATTATTATCTATTTTTTAAAAAAATGGGATTATTACCTCTGGAAAAGGGATTAACAACTGGGTTCTTACATAGTGCTAGGTATGTGGAGTAAGGAAAGTTGCTTAACGTTTCGCCCTGCCCAGGAATCGAACCCAGGTCCTCTCGCTTGCAAGGGCGAGTGCTCTATTGCCCCAACCACCCTCCCTATTCACATCCTGGAGGCTGGTTCAAAGACTGGCATAGACAGATTCGCTTGGAGCAGACCATCTTCCTCCTACCCTCCCTGCCCTCCCCAATCCCGACCCCCAGCTCGGGTCCAAATTCCTCCCGACGTGAAAGGCGCGATACAAATGTAATTTTGTTTTGTATTTTGACCAGGAATGCTGCCTGGCCTGTGGAGCCAAAAAAGCAGGAGAACATCTGCTCTCACCCTCCTCCACAACACCCTCTCCTCCACACTTGACACTCTTGCCCCCATCACCTCCCGTACTGTCTCCTACTCTCGCTCCTCCCCCTGGTTCACCACCCACCTCCGCTCACTGAAGAGCCAGGTGTGGGCCGCTGAACGCACCTGGGTCAAATCTGGCCTAACGGTCCACCGACAAATCTGGCTGGACCTCCTCAAAATCTACCGCTCCACTCTAGCCTCGGCCAAGTCGTCCTTCTACTCCAGGATAATCCTGGAGGCGAAGAACAACCCCAGGCTTCTGTTCTCTACCACATCCCGACTCCTCCGTCCCCCCCGCCACCCCGCGCAGGTCATCTCCTCCAACCTTCACTGCGAGGAGATGCTGGATTTCCTTGAATCCAAAATCAAGGGAATTCGCTCCGCGGTCACTTCCCCTCCAACATCCACCCACCCCCTCCCTCCCACACTCCGACTCCTACCCATCCTCCCCTACACACTTTCGTACCCGTTTCCCCACCCTCTGTCACCAAACTCATCCTATCCCTGAAACCCACCACCTGCTCCCTTGACCCCATCCCCACTCCACTCCTTATCTCCCAGCTCCACCTCCTTGCCCCACATATCACAGACATCGTCAACCTGTCCCTCTCCTCTGGCTCTGTTCCCATTCCCTTAAAAACTGCCACCATCACTCCCACCTTGAAAAAACCCTCCCTTGATGCGTCGCAGCTATCAAGCTACCGGCCCATCTCCAACCTCCCCTTCCTGTCCAAGGTCCTGGAACGAGTTGTCGCCTCCCAGCTGCGCTCTTTCCTCTCCACCCATTCATTATTCGAACCCCTTCAGTCGGGTTTCCGTGTGTGCCCACAGCACAGAAACTGCCTTGGTCAAGGTCACCAATGACATCCTGACCATCTGTGACCAGGGCTCCCTCTGCCTCCTCGTCCTCCTCGACCTATACGGTCGACCATGCTATCCTCCTCCACCGCTTATCCTCCCACCTAAACCTTCAAGGCCCTGTCCTTGAGTGGTTTAGGTCGTACCTCTCCCACCATCTTCACTTTGTTTCCAAGAATGTTTTTTCCTCCAGCCACCGCACTGTCTCGTGCGGTGTCCCTCAGGGCTCTGTCCTCGGTCCCCTCCTCTTCACCCTCTATATGCTCCCCCTTGGTGACATCATCCGCAGACATGGGGTTAACTTCCACATGTATGCGGATGACACCCAACTCTACCTTTCCTCCTCTACCCTCAACTCCACGACCACCGATGTCCTGACAGCTGCCTGTCCGACATCGAGTCCTGGACGAGAGACAACTTTCTTCAGCTCAACGTGCGTAAAACTGAGGCCCTCCTGATTGGCTCACGTCAGCGCCTCCGCACCTCAGGCGTTGACAGCATCAGCATCCAAGGCTGCACTCTCCACCTCTCAAAGCCAGTCAGGAACCTCGGGTTCTGTTCGACCCTGAGCTGTCCTTTCTCCCTCATATCCGCGCCACAACTGGCACCGCCTTCCATCACCTCCGGAATGTCGCCAGACTACGGCACTACCTCACCCCTCACGCTGCTGAAACTCTGGTCCACGCCTTTATCACCTCAAGGCTGGACTATGGGAACTCTCTCCTCGCCGGCCTTCCCGGCACCTCCCTCCACAAGCTGCAGGTCATTCAGAACTCTGCAGCTCGTGTACTGTCCCGCACCAGGCTTCGGGACCACATCACTCCCACCCTCGCTCGCCTCCACTGGCTCCCCATCCCCCAGAGGATCGAATTCAAGATCCTCACCCTCACCTACAAGGCCATTCACGGCCTTGCTCCCTCCTACCTCTCCAACCTACTATCCCTCTACTTACCTGCCCGTACCCTCCGTTCCTCTGGCTCCAGTCTGCTCCACATCCCCCGCCCCAACCGCCCTACCATCGGTGGCCGGGCCTTCAGCCTCTCAGCCCCCAGGCTCTGGAACTCTATCCCCCAGTGCCTTCGCCGCCTCCTCCCTTTCCTCCTTCAAGGCCGGTCTCAAGACCTTTCTCTTTGACCGTGCCTTCAGCTCCCCTCTCGACTCTCTACCCCCTCCTCGCTCCCTCCCTTCCCTCCCCTCACCCTGACCATTTCCCCCTTGCTCGGGTCCTGACCCAACTGTACAGCGCCTTGGGACGTCCTCCCGACGTGAAAAGCGCTCTATAAATGGAATCTTGTTGTTGTTGTTGAGAAGGGTTATTTTCATCAGGTTTTTTGAAACTTTCTGAAACTATTTTAATTTGTATCGGAAGGACTTAAAACATGCAACAGCTACGCACATTTTAATGAAACACAGAAGTAGTTGAAGAAATGGAGAGATTCCTGTATACCAGCTTACTTTTACCTTTGAACTCTTTCCTAGCAGGTGCTGGGCTTCGAGCTCCTTGGTAAAGTGAACGGATAAGTGTGAAGAGAAGCGCAAGTTAGTATTTCTCAAGCATGCACGGGTTAAGTAGTAAGAAAATACATAGAAATAATAAGACAATCACAGACATTCAGAGTTAGAAAAATCTCCCCTCCAGTATACAAGATATATATATATATTTATGTTAGATGTTTCACCTGAAAGATTACTAACCACTCTTGCCTGTTGATTTTGCTAAAATGGCCAATATTACTTGTTAGGTTTTAAAATGAAAAATGTGAGATTTAACTCATTCATCTCAGCACTCAGTTTTGAATGTACTATTAAATTCCAAAGACTGGAAATATTTACAATAAATGAGCTGATTCTGTCATACTACGTCTGTAAATATAAAGTGACTAAACATAGCCTCAGCTCAGAATGAGAAAAGCCAGCACAAAGTTTAAAGCATATGTTAGAAAATTGTATTGAAGTATAATTCAAACAAGACTTTGCCAATAGATATATACAGTTTGTGTTGTATGAAAAAGAACGCTTCACAGAAATGTAGGGATTGTGTATCATTAGATGGAGACAAAAATAATAATCCTTCAAAAAAAATCGGTCACTTCAATGCACGACTGTTTGTGGGACACTGCTGTGCACAATTGGCTGTCGCATTTTGCCCACAAATATACAGTCAATTCAGTTACACAGTCTATTCTGTGAAGTGCTTTGAGACGTCCAGAAGACATGAAAAGCGCTATATTAAATGCAAGGATTATTATTATTAAATTAGATAATAATAATAATCCATGCATTTCATATAGCGCCTTAACACTTCCTTGAGACATCGCAAAGGGCAGCACAGAATATACTGCAAAGTGACAAAATGCAAAATATTGCAGATGATGGAAATCTGAAACAAAAAAGAAGTCGCTGGGAACACTGTAAAGTGGATTGACTATATATTTTGTGGAGAAACTCGGGCAGCCAATTGCGCACAGCTGTGTCCCACTAACAACAACAACATTTCATTTATAGAGCGCCTTTCATGTCAGGAGGACGTCCCAAGGCGCTGGACAGTTGGGTCAGGACCCGAGCAGGGGGGAAATGGTCAGGGTGAGGGGAGGGAAGGGAGGAAGCGAGGAGGGAGTAGAGAGTCGAGAGGGGAGCTGAAGGCACGGTCAAAGAGAAAGGTCTTGAGACCGGCCTTGAAGGAGGAAAGGGAGGAAGCGGCGAAGGCACTGGGGGATAGAGTTCCAGAGCCGAGAGGCTGAGAGGCTGAAGGCCCGGCCACCGATGGTAGGGCGGTTGGGGCGGGGGATGTGGAGCAGACCGGAGCCAGAGGAACGGAGGGTACGGGCAGGTAAGTAGGGGGATAGTAGGTCGGAGAGGTAGGAGGGAGCAAGGCCGTGAATGGCCTTGTAGATGAGGATCTTGATTTCGATCCTCTGGGGGATGGGAAGCCAGTGGAGGGGAGCGAGGGTGGGAGTGATGTGGTCCCGTGGATTGTAAGAAGAGCAGCAAGTTTTACAGGGCCACTGTTGTTTGGCCCATCAAACGCTTGCACCATTTCAGGCAAACCCGCACCAAATCAATACTCGTTCCCAGTAGCTGCCGAGCAGTGATGCCCAATGGTGTGGCCAAGAATGAAGAAAAATTCAATGAAGAAAAATGTATTTAGTTGGTCGACTAAAAAGGTTGGCCACCACTGACATAGATTGTTTCTCAAGATATTAACTCCAAAAGCTAAAGTCTGCCCCACTCGTGAGCAAGGAGCCCTGGAGAAACAGAACTAATCCTATGCTTCTCACAGCACTTCTATCTCCTTGCTTAGTGATCTGGGCTTCAGATTTCTCCGCAAAACAAATCGATATACTTTTGTCTGTAAACTTTCAGACAAGGTTTCGTCATTTTTACCACAGGGTCCCACTGAAATAAACTTCAAATGAGTGCAAATACTTTGCATTATACGAATGGCAAAGGAAAGAAAACCCAGTCTGCACCTGAAGGAGGTGGTGGTCTCTGAGGTGGAGCAGGGCGTGAAGGCGGGACAGTTGGTCGAGGTGGAGGTGGCCGTTTCGGTTCCACAGTTGGACTGGTTTCCTTCTGAGATACATATATAGTATCTGTTGAAGATGCTTTTAAAACAAAATGAAAACAATGTATAATCATTGGGGAGAAAGAGTTATCATTGATAAAATAATCTTGTCCCTGCTTACAAAATGCAATCAACCCCAATATACAACAGTTTGGGTTTATACAGCTGTGTTGGACTGGAGGAAACTGTAATTATAATAATTATAATGTACCATAATCAAGTCCTGGATGAGACCCAACTTTCTACAGTTGAACGTCAGCAAAACTAAGGCTCTCCTGATTTGGTTCGCAGCAGTGCCTTTGCACCTCAGACACTGGCAATGCACCTTACTAAGCCAGTCAGGAACCCAGGCATCTTGTTCGACTCTCAACTATCCTTTCTCCCCTACATCCGTGTCATGTCCTGCTCTGCCTTCCCCCACCTCCACAACATTGCCCTGACTCCACCACAGCCTCATCCCTCAAGCCGCTGAAACCCTCATACATGCCTTCATTACAACCAGGCTCGACTATGTCAACTCCCTTCTTGTCGACCTTCCCAACTCTTCCTTCCACAAGCTGCAGATCATCTAGAAATCTGCAGCTTATGCCGTCTCCTGCACCAGGCTCCATGACCCCCATCACGCCCACCCTCGCTCCGCACCACTGGCTCACATCCCTCAGAGGATCGAGTTCAAAATCCTCACCTTCAAGGCCCTCCACGGCCTTGCCCGCTACTACCTCTCTGACCTCCTAACCCCTCATCAACCTGACCGCTCCCTCCACTCAACAGGCTCCGGCCTACTCCAGGACCCCCACCCGGCCCACCCCACCATCGGCGGTCAGGCCTTCAGCCTCTCTGCTCCCACCCTCTGGAACTTCAACCCACATTCCCTTTGTCTTGCTTTCTCCCTTGCCTCCTTTTAAGGCACACTTCAAGAACCTCCTCTTCGACTGTGCCTTCGGCCACCCTCCTACCCTCTCTGGCCTCCACCCTCCCTGATCTCAACCCCCCCCATTCCCCGCTTGGTTCCTAATCCCTAATCCAACTGTTCTGCGCCTTGGAACGTCTTCTGGACTTGAAAGACGCTTTACAAATGTAATTTTGTATTATAATACTTGCATTTGATATAGCGCCTTATCACGTCTTCGGGACGTCGCAAAGCGTTTCACAGAATATATTGCAAAGTGAATTGACTGTATATTTTGTGGGCAAAATGCAGCAGCCAATTGAGCACAGCTGTGTTCCACAAACAGTCTTGGATTGAGTGACCAAATTATTATTTTTTTAAATTATTTTTTGTAGAAATCATAACCCCAGGAAAAGCGATGCGTTAATCGACTAACAACCGGGTTCCTACTTACTGCTAAGTAAACAGAGGTGTGTGGAGTAAGGAAATTTGCCCAACATTTCGCCCTGCTCAGGAATCGAACCCAGGTCCTTTTGCTTGCAAGGTGAGTGCTCTAACCACTATGCTACAGGACTCCACGATGTTCATCTTTTACAAATTGCCTTTTTTAAAAAAATGACTGAATCTACTAATGATATCCATATCAAGCTCTTACCTTGATTTATGGTATCTTGTGAAGATATGGACGATCTGGAAGTTGCTCTACTTGATGTACTGGGCAGTGAAAGTGGAAGCATTTCTGATAATGTGGGTGATGGACAAGGGCTCGATCCTGGGGTTGAACAAGGAGAGAGGCCTGAACTAACGGCAAGCTGCAAGCGCTGAGAGATCTCCTCCACTTCCGCATCCACATCTCCTGTATAAGAAAGTGATGATCACATTACACACAATACAAACTAATGGTGCAACAAGAAATACAGTAAAACTTACACAAGTTGTATCAGTCAGAACCATAATCTTTACATATATATTTTATACTAATAAAGATGAAATGTCTATCTGTGTATCCGCCAATAACGCAACAACCGATTGACGTAGAGACATGATTTATACCTCATCGGAATGGTCTTTCATGGGGGAGCATCATGGGCATTTTTTTTTGGGGGGGGAATCTCCTATCGTTGATGAGCTATGACCTAAACAAGCTCATCACACATGCATGGCAGTTTTGCTTGAGGTGTACACACAGTGTTTATAGCATGTTAAATGGTTTGTGAGTGGTATCACTGAAATCTACATTCCATATTGGATCATTCGGTTGCAAACGTAGCTGCAACAGGTACAGCAAGTATTTAATACGACTTAGGCAATATCTCAGTTGCAGGCAAACTGTATAAATCGTACAAAATCCAAATTAATTAATAATCTACCCTATGCAGGTGTAATTCAATGTAGCTGTAAAGTGTGCATGCGTCGAAGGGTCAGGAAGTCATTTCCCTTAATTCAATCCTCCAATCTCAGGCAGAGGATACAGTTCAAGATCCTGGTCCTCACCTTCAAGGCACTCCATGGCCTCGCTCCCCCCTACCTCTGCGACCTCCTAATCCGCCCGCTGCCTCCGCTCAGCGGGCTCCGGCCTGCTTGGCGTCCCCCCACCTCACCCGCCCCACCATTGGCAGGTGGGCCTCCAGCCACTCTGCCCCCACCCTCTGGAACTCCACGCCGTGGCTCCTCCACCTCAACCCCTCTCTTGCCTCCTTCAAGACCCATCTCAAGACCCCCCTCTTCGACCGTGCTTTTGATTGCCCTCCTTCTCCCCCCGGCCTCCACCCTCCCCGATGCCGACCCCCAGCTCGGGTCCGAAACACTGACTGTCCAGCCCCTTGGGTCGTGCTCCTGACGTGAAAGGCGCTATACAAATGTCATATAGTTGTTGTTTCTACGTAATAGATTTTAATACAGGGGTTAGGCAAGTATTATACTGTTCAGCTGCTTTCACAAATTGGTGATTTAAAGTTACAAATTCACTGAACAAATTTTGCATTATCTGCAAATCCCCCACTCCCAAAACCACTGTGGGAACTTCAACTAACATCAGGCACATCCATCTGAAATGGGACGACATACCTTCCATGTAATAGCCTGCTGAGAGATCCGCATTCTCCTCCAGCAGGGCAGAGCTGGGAGAGACAGATAAACCAGGAATGACTCTGTCCAGATTCATCTCTTCCTCCAACTTTTTAATCCAATCTGGGTTCTTCAGACTCACGCTGATCATCTTCCCCAGCACCTGCATTATCACAATGGATTTCTTTCAAACAGTGCATTTTAGACTGTCAAGTCCATCTTTCCCGTTCTGTCTGTCTCACACTGTCTAACGTTTATAAAAATCTAACACTAACATTTTGCTTATAAATTATCAAAACCGCTGTAAAACTGGATGAAATAAAATTAAAATTAAACTGGCTGCAATAAAACCGATGATAGGTTTCAAAAGGGAAATGGACGCACATTTGAAAGGGAAAACATAGGAACATAGGAATTACTGGATGAAAACAGACCAAGATCCATCTAGTCCGCCTTCTAACATCCTGGTAGTCGCATGCTACAATATTGGAGATGCTTATAGCAATTACATGTGTATGGATCAGTCAGTCTACCATAACAGTGGAAAGTTTTAGGAACTTTAGATCCAAAGTGGCCTAGTTCTTCCAAGCATACCACACTTGTCATGTCACAAATTACTCATATACTGTATCCCAAAATATTAGTTTCTAAAAGAAAGCTATTTTAATTTGCATTTCAATTAATTGACACTATCTTCCACCACCATCTTTTCGTGAAAACATAAAAGGGGTGTGCGAAATCTTTAGCACACGTTCTGAAAAGGGTTTTTACTTACTTCGGTGCCATGTAAAGTCTGCACGGCCAGAGCAGAACTGCCTTCCTGGAATGTCACCCACATTTTGTCTTCTACAAACCTTTTGAGGAGAAACTTTTAAAATCAGAATCTTATATGCGGACACACATATTGCATATGAAAATGGTAAAATATTGTGACTGGTTGTGGCGCATGGAATATATCCATATGATTGTAGTGCTCTTTTTGAGTAATGTAAGTCATTCTCAACAAGTTTAGGCATAATGAACCACAGAATCAACTGTGATAGTTTACAGCACACCTGTGAACTGTAAAGCAATCTTTTGTTTAAAGACTGAAATGACCTCACGGTATTGAAACTCAATGTTTGATCCAACGATTATTAAAACCCAAGCATCACTCTTGTGGTATAGAACAATAACAGGATTATTATGAATGTATTCTCTATTTCTGATCCTCACTTGAAAAGACAGGTAGGGAGCGATGTGAAGTGGGTGTGGGATAGTAGTACATATACATATTTTTTACTTTGAGGTTCAATAAGCTTCAAGAGGAATCCAACTTTCTCAGTCAGTCGGTCGTTTGCTGGTTTGCAACAGATTATTAACTTGTGCAGAAGAAGCTTAACACAACACATGTAGATGTGTGAAGATTTTTTTTATTGTACGAGAGAGAGCAAGAGAGAAAATTAGGGAGAAAAAAATGCATAGTTTGTTACCTTATCAAAATAACTTCCCCAAATGCAGTGAATTGTTGAAGCAATTGGTCTATCAAGTTATCATCGAAATAATCACAGTCTGGGGAGGTGCTATTCAGTGACACTACTGTTGTCCCATCGGGTGGTCCCTGCTGAGAAATAACTTCCTTGTACACTCGCTGTCGAGCCTCTGGATTAACGTCAAAAATATCTATATCTGCAATAGCAACCACAGGCCTAACAAAATATAAAACAGAACATTCAATTAGCGAGGAACAGTTAGTTATACAGCGGTTATGAAAGTTATAACATCAGATAACCACAAAACATGCATATTTCACAGGAATTAGTACAATAAAAAAACATTCTTTTAATATAAACTTAGTCTGTCCAATGTTCATGTTTTTCTACCTATTGGCAAGTGCCTCTGCGCCAGGTCTCTAGCCTCCTCTAGCTGGGATGTAACCCCAAAGTCCTGAAAGTACCTAACCATGGTCTATGTTTTGAAGGGATTATTACCTCCAGAAAGTAATCCGTCAATCTAGTTGATTGGCAGATTGCTTTCTGGGGATAATAATTTCTTAAAAAATCATAATGACAAAATAATAATATGTTCACTCAATTCACAACTGTTTGTTGGACACAAAGTCTCTTCAAGACTTAATAAATAAGTATATAAATTCAAGTTATTATTACTGATGTGTGAGATTTGGCAACGAATGTCATCCAGGTCACTCGAAGCTATAACCAGACTTGTCCTCATCCGCTACCAACAGAGGACATTGTAGAGAGACCAGGAAACCTGCTGGTTTTCCCTTCACTAACTCTGGGAAGGCAGGGGCCAATTTAGCCTTCACAAGGAGTCCCAACTGAGACAGCAAACTCAACGTAGGATGCTGCTCTATCCAATACAGCACTGGGGCTACTTAAAAAAGTGAATTCTGGAATTGATGCTCATGTTTCTTCTCCTTCCCCCAAATCACAATAAACGTTACATACACTCTTGGGTCCTAGTTTCAATCCAGGGTCTTTAACTCAAATAATAATAAATAATGGATAAATCAATGCTGGATCCATTTAAATTTTCAAGACTGAGGTAGATAGATTTTTGTTAAGGTACACCATCACAATTCTGATCTCTGGGATACCTAATTACAGTCAGACCTGTTCAAACAACCGCCTCCATTCAGCAACCAGCTCCTGTTAACAACCACCCTGGAACAGGCCGGACAGATTTTGCATAACAACCCACCTCTATTCAGCAACCACCTGTCTAACGTGATCAATGGCCTCTTTTTATTAGTGGTTTTACACCAACACCCTTTTCACAGGCCAAGCTTTCGGAGAGAAACAGTCAGAAAAAGCAAGTGCCTATCAGAAAACGGTTATGAACTTCTTCAGCAAACAGCAACGACTTGCTCCATGTCTCCCGCCTGACCCTCCCTACCATCGGTGGCCGGGCTTTCAGCCTCTCTGCCCCCACACTCTGGAACTCCATCCCACGGTCCCTCCGCCTCGCTTCCTCCCTCGCATCCTTCAAGGCCGGTCTCAAGATTCTTCTCTTCGACCGTGCCTTTGGTCTCCCTCTCACCTCTCTGCCTTCCCTCACCCCTACACCACCCCTCCCCCATGCTCGGGCCCCAACATCTGACTGTTCAGCGCTTTGGGACGTCCTCCCGACGCGAAAGGCGCTCTATAAATGTAATTTTGTTGTAATTTAGTTATGATTTGTAATCTTTAATTTATTTAATTAAAAATTATTTATGGGTCTGTATGTGCACTACATTTTTCTACACACACCAACAAACTCTTGCTCTGAGATCACCTTACATAAAGGCCCTGTGGCCCAGTCCCCTAAGCGGTTATTGAAGCAGGTTTGCCTGTATCAATCCGAGTTAAAGTCAGTTCAGGCAATCCATGGCAGAACTCACTAACTTCTTGAACAATTATCAGATCCCTTTAATACAGGTTACTAATGAGTGCTGCTCTGTGTTAGTCTAATACGTGAACTATTTACTTTGCAGGGGAATGATTAACTAATTTGGATAAAGCAGAATGTTACCAATTAAAAATTTAGTGAAGCATTTTAGGGGATTTGACTTTTGCTGTACTCAATTTCTTGTTGATTCAGCAATGACAGATTTGTTTAAAACAAATACCTGTGATCAGACGTTTTCAGTTCTGCTCTTCCGTAATATACCAGTTCTCCAGGAGTCCATGTGTACGGTGGCTTATCTTCATCGCTAATTGTGGAATTCACCAAGTGCTCACCTGAAGGAAAATACAGTTAGTGTTACTGTTCAAAAGTATGAGGGATTTAGATACAGTAGACAGGGATAAACTGTTTCCTCTGGCAAGTGGGGTGGTAACCAGAGGACACAGATTTAAGATAATTGGCAAAAGAATCGGAGGGGAGAAGAGAATTTTTTTTACCCAGAGATTCGTTACGATCTGGAATGCACTGTCTGGAAGGTTGGTGGAAGCAGATTCGATAATAGCTTTCAAAAGGGAATTGGATAGGTACTTGAAAAGGAAAAAAATTGCAGGACTATGGGGTAAGAGCGGGAGAGTGGGACTAGTTGGCAGCTCTTTCAAAGAGCCGGCACAGGCATGATAGGCCGAATGGCCTCCTTCTCTGCTGTAAGATTCTATGAATATACCTCTACTGGGTAGGGAAACATTTTAATACCCAGGATTTGTATTCAATCCGTCTTTACATATGCACATTTAATTGTTGGTGGTCTAAGGTACATATTTACGCACAGGGCAAATGGCCAATAGGCAAGTAAAACAACTACACAAGTGTACATTCACTGTGTTCCTGCTGGTATAGTGGAATTCAGTGCATTGCAGTGGCTTCTATTTTCCACAGCACGGGGAGTTCAGCTTTTATATTCTCGCCTCCGAATCAGAAAGTTCAACGGTCAAGATCCACATCAAGGTTTTGAACTTACACAGGGGAGGCCCAACCTTTTGGCTGCTGAGGGCTGAATGCCCTACTTGAGAAACGTCCTCAGGCCGCTTAAGCAATAATTTTGCTTCCAGAAACATAACATAACATTTCCGGGTGATGGAGGGAGCGGGTGGACCAGATGAAACGGAGGGAGGGGGAGGTGGGCCCGGATGAAAATTAAACTGGTTATTCACTTTATGGCTGTTTGTCCGCAAATTCACTGCCACGTCCGGTTTCAAAATACAGTCACTACACATTACAGTAAATGCTGTGAAGCACTTTGGGACATTCTCCCGACGTGAAACGTTGCTATATTAAATGAAAGGATTTACAATAATAAGGAAGCAGAAGATTCAGACTGAAAGGTAATTATGCACATGTCTGATTCGTCTTGGAAAGAATTCAAATAGAAGAAACACTGCCTAATTGGAGAATTAAGTATAATAATGAGGCATTAATTTGCTTTAAGCGTTGTAAATTGCCTACAGTCAAACCTGTTCAAGCAACCACCCTGTTAACAACCACCCTGGAACAGCCCTTACACAATTCTACACACACCAACAAATCCTTACTCAAAGGCCAGCTTTAATATGTAGGCCACTTTGACCCAGACCCTGAGAGGTTGATGAAGGCAGGTTTGACTGTATTTAAATCGGATTATCTACACTGCTGAAAAATTCACAGAAGGGATTAGGAAGTAACACACCAACCATTTTAGCTAGTTAAATTTCAGGTTATAGTTTAAAAGCTGGAACAGCTGCCTGCTTGAATTACATGTTTGAATTGATAGGCTAGCTCACAGTGCAACATTATTATTTGGCCAATCTTTAATCTGACTTGTGCCTGGGGTTCAATCTGATCACCGTTCCAATTTGAGCTTGGTTGACCTTAGAATATTTCCATTCTCCATGGATTAGTGTCTATAATTAGCAACCCTACATCATAAGTTCATGTACCAAAATGAAGAAATGTGCTTTTTTAAGGGGGAAAAAAACCCTCACAAGTTGTTGTCAATTCAAAGTGTCGCCAGACCAGACTCTCAAGTGAGAATCAAGATAATAGTTTTGCTACTCAACATTGTTAAACATCACTTGAAGATAACCGAGAATCATTTCCCACCTGCTTTATCAACTGTCCATTTTCTTCTTTTCCAAAGAATGCGGTCGGTCCAGGCTGGAGTACGACATTTCTCACTTGTGTCATAATCATCGGAAAACAGGTCATATTTGTAAGTCGGAGCAAAGGTTATATCGCCCTCCAGAAAGTCTCGAAAAATCTGGGTTTTATAAAGATAAAATACTTGTATTCATATCAAACCAGATTCGCAGATCAAAACTGCTGCACCAGTTTGACTTAATGCAAGACAATTCCACGATAATTTCCATGGTTTATAGCCTCAATGTGTGTTCAGGCCAATTCGCATAGATGGTGACTTTGGTCACCTCTGCATTGCACCGAAGCCTTACTAACCATGGAGATAATCATGCAATTTGCATTACATTTGGATACGTTGGACACTTGGGAGAGTACAATTTCTTCAATACGAGCATGTTGCATCCTATGTGACTTGCTCAACAAATGTCGAATAACCCAAACCCAGTGGTAGGACAGACAACTAATATGACCCCCTCCCTCCCTCCCATCTATGCATTACCTGCATAGACTCTGGCTTGTCTCGTCTGCCAAAAGCAAATTCTGCAATTTTGACCTTTCAATGTAGCACAGCCTAGAAATACTAAATCTCTCAGACAGTGTCGAACTGACACTAGACAAGTCTAGTGTCAGTTCGACACTAGACTTGGAACTGGAAAATTCCGAAACTGAACTGGATCCGAGCAGGCATGTCTGGAAAAGTAGACAGGACCACAGTAACCCAAGTATGTGGAGGTATTGATACATCCTCAATCACATGGAGTCCTGTAGAGTATTGGTTAGAGCTCATGCCTCACAAGCAAGAGGACCAGGGTTCGATTTCCGGGCGGGGCAAAACCTAAGGTAAGTTTCCTTACTCCACGCACCTCTGTTTACCTAGGAACCCAGTGGATTGCTTTTCCAGGGGTAATAATTCCTTCAAAAGTAAATAAATAAATACATAATAATTTGGTTACTCAATCCATGACTGTCAGAGTGACACTGCTGTGTGCAATTGGCTGCCGCGTTTTGCCTACAAAATATAATCAATTCACTTTACAGTATATTCTGTGAAACGCTTTGACACGTCTCGAAGACGTGAGAAGGCGCTGTATCAAATGCAGGGATTATTATTATGTGAGCCAAAGCTCTAATGGGTCCCAGCTAGACAAAGAATGTACTTGTGATCACCTTAAAAATACACTGACATTTTCAACATTCACAGGAAAACTGCAACTTACATTTCCAATGCTTTTTTGGTTCAGAAGCTGGTCACCTAATAGAAGACTCTTCCAGTTCTGCTGTCTGATCAGCTCTTTAACATCTTCATTCTGAAGATCAATGCGGTAGTTGAAATCTCCACACCAAAAGACATAATCATGGGAAAACAGTAACCTTCCCTGGGGACAGCAAGAAAACAAAGTTTAGAAATATAACAACTTACACTTATATACCGCCCCTCAGGCAGAGGTTTGACAGTGGCAGAGCACCACACTGAGTTGGGAGAAGGTAACCAACCATAGGTCCGGTTGAAGAGGAAGGTCTTCAAGCGCAACCTGAAGATGGGGAAGGAAGGGGCAAGGCGGAGGGCTAGAGGAAGAGTGTTCCAGAGGTTCGGGATATAGTGGCTGAAACCTCGGCCAGGAGGGACAAGCAGGGAGCTGGAGCCAGTCATTAATTAACACAGACATTCAATGTTTAATGCAATTAAGAGCAAAATGGACAAAAACAAACCCCTAGTGAGACCGTTATTGCAGTGTCCTCCGAATGCAATGTCATTCAAGTTTCATTCAAGTTCAGTTTAACACCATCAATTTTTTTTTACAGAAATATTAATAGTTGATATCACTGGTAGCTGCATTTTATATACAACATAAATAAATAATCCTTGCATTTGATATAGAGTCTTATCTTGTCTTTGAGACGTCTCAAAGCGCTTCGCGAAAACAACAATTTTTTTTGTTATTTGAAAAATATGATGGGCATTTAAAAATAATCTGTGGAATCACCTAATTGGACCTTTTTTGCATTTTACAATGTGCAACAAGGTTATGGTTTAAAATGGGAATGATGATTCAATATTTTTACTCATTCATTTATTGGAATTATTCATCGATACGTACCATCGGAAAACTCAGCTTGCGAGAGATTTCAATGTAATCTTCATTCCTTTCCTTGACTTGCGACTGGCCTGCAGCAAAATGTGCACAAACAAAACACAGACTGGTTGTGTGGAAAAGCATGCGTACAGCAACGGCCCCTTTGTTACCAGTCGCTCCTCCCATTCCAGTCTTTACTGTGTCAACGGCTACATCCCTGGAAAAGGAAACCATGACTTAGATCAGTAACATAACAGTCAGCATTCACTACATCCACTGGAAAATAAGTTAAGTGGTTAAATTACGAGGACAGGTTGCATAAACTTGTTCTGTATTCCCTTGAGTTTAGAAGATTGAGGGGTGATCTGATTGAGGTGTTTAAAACGATAAAGAGATTTGATGTGGGGCGGCTACAGAGAAACTATTTCCTTTGGTGGGGAATCCAGAAAAAGGTGGGCATCATCTTAAAATTAGAGCCAGGCCATTTAGGAGTGAAATCAAGAAATGCTTTTTTTTTTAAACACAAAGGGTAGTGGAAATCTGGAACTCTCTCTCCCCCCCAAAAAAGACTGTGAATGCTGGATCCATTCAATTCAAGACTGAGATGGATAGATGTTTGTTAGGTCAGGGTATCATGGGATATGGGGCAAAGGCGGGTAATTGGAGTTGAGGTACAGATTACCTATAATCTAAAGGAACAGGCTTGAGGAGCTGAATAGCCTACTTCTGCTCCTAAATAGCTGCATACGTCAAATGTACAACCTATAATCTGGAGTACTTTGTACAGTTCTACCTACGACAACATAAGGAGAACTGGACAAGCTCTAGAAACATTGCAGAGGAGAGCAATGAAGCTGATTCCCAAGGTTAGAGCTATGAAGAAATGACTAGAGAAGCTCAGTCTCTTCGACTTCAAAATGAAATGTCTCCAAGATGTACAAAATGCTTAAAAACGATAAAGTAAATCTGTAACAATACTTTTATACATAAGAAGTCTTGAGGACAAGGGCAAAGTGTGAAAGACAAGTTAGGATAGACACCCATGAAACATTTCTTTACCCAGAAAGTAATTAATAACTGGAACCAACTAGCACGAAGGGCAGAAAAACGGTAAGGGTTGCCAGTCTGGGCAGACAAGATGGGCCACAGAACTTTCTTTGTTCCATCCCCTTTTTGATCGAATAGCCAAAATGCCAATAACATTTATTGTTTACATTTATTGAGTTTCAGAGTGAGGTTTCTTATAAAAATTACTGAGCGCCTATTTAAGTAAAAAAAGCTTTTACCTCTCTTTAAAATATATATTAACTTTACAGCCCAATTTATAGCAGCTTACACATCAGAATTGAGTACTTGTGGTGAGAAATTAAGCCGGTATTCAAGAATTTAGCTAAATTCTGGATGCTCGAATGAATAAATCTACATTCAGCTGGGATTTCTCACCAGTGGTTTAAGAAATTATTTCTCAACAGCATGTAGCCTGTAACATGTAGAAAGCAATACATTGGACTAAATTAAAGAACAACAACTTGCATTTGTATAGCGGTCTTCATGCATGGTAGGGTCCCGGAGCGCTTAAATCTAAACTAGATTGTATGGTTAATGAAAGCACAAAACTAGTTAAACTATTCATGTACAGTTCTCCCAGCTCTGTGATATTCAGTAACAGGTTATTATTGCTAGCGATTGTTCTTAACTGGCTAACCTTGCAAGTTCCAGTTTGTCCTTGTAAAATATTCCTATAATCTACAACATATTGATTGTCACTGTAATGCCAGAACAGACTGCTTCCAATGTCAATAAAAATCAGTTGCCGTGCAGTACCATAATCTGAACGTGCAAGTAAAAACAGTCACTACTTGCTACAAAATCGCTGTCAAAGTCACACCAGAGTTGTTTTCTATATCCATTACTGGTGTCAGATTTTGAGAGATGTTCTCCATATCACTTTGTCACAATTTGAAATAGCAGTTAGATTTTGCTTCAGTTCATTTTATAACAATCTTGCATGACAAACCAGTTCAGGATTAAAATAAAGAAGTCAACCAGCTACACCCCCACCCCCAATACCTATTGATTTACGTCCCTTGGTAAAACCAAAGTTTTTTTTCCTCCAAATCAAATCCATTAAATATTTAACACAAGTATCCTGTTCATAAATACCTTTGCGCAAACAGTCAACAGTAAAAATACAGCGCTTCATGATCTGTACTCACGCAACAGACTGACCTGATGTACGGTGCGTGCTGGGGTCGGATGAAGATGAACAGGCAGACGCCAACCAGTTGCTCGGAAGCCAACAGAACATACTTGAGATCTCTGGAGATGGTCTTCTGCAACTCAGCGGCCCACACTTTCTGATTAGTGGTGCTGTCAAACAGTTATAGAAGTGATTAATTAAAAAAAAACTGGCATGTGCAGGAATGCTTACAAGGAAGTATTTATATTGATTTATTTATTATTAAAATATTTGGACACTCGATCCATGACTGTTTGTGGGACAGTGTTGTGCACAATTGGCTGCTGCGTTTTGCCCACAAAATATAGTCAATTCACTTACAGCAGAACAAGGGGGCATAATTTTAAAATTAGAGCTAGGTCATTTAGGAGTAAAATCAGGAAGCATTTTTTCACGCAAAGGGTAGTGGAAATGTGGAAGTCCCTTTCCCCAAAAGACTGAATTCTGGATCCATTCACATTTTCAAGACTGAGGTGGATAGATGTTTGTTAGGTCAGGGTATCAAGGGATATGGGGCAAAGGCGGGTAATTAGATTTCAGGTACAGATTAGCCGTGATCTAATAGAATGGCGGAACAGGCTCAAGGGTCTGAATGGTCTACTGCTGTTCCTATTCTGCTGTGACTTGCAGCACTGGATGATGACTAATCTGATATGATTCAGATACTCCTAAAGTGATATTTTGAGGCACTTCAATAAAGAAGCACAAAGCTGGCATTACATGGCCGATCAATGCACATTTCCAATGTGCTATAATTTAATTCAATGTAAATAGCCCCTTTAAATTTCAAATAAAATGTACTGTAAACTAAAATCTAGAGCCATGACACAGAAGAGACACTGATCGAAAGGGCTCATGGTTTGTTTTTCGTTAATTTTCTTTGTGTGAAAGCTGAGACTTTAAAAGGAAATTCAGTACTACTTACCTTGCACTTACAATGTTCCCGGCATTCAGTTCAACCATTTCTTCAAAACCAATAGCAAAAATGTCCACCGGTTTGTCTTTCTTGTCTGGAATGAAAAAAAAATTTTGGAAAATGAAACTGTTCAAGAAAACTTTGAATAAAGTTATTGAACAAACACATCCAGGAAGTTCAAACAAGTAAAAAGAGTCATGTACTCATGAAATCCTCATGATAATAATAATCCTTGCATTTCATACAGTGCTTTATCACATCTTCGAGACATCTCAAAGCGCTTCAAAAAATATACTGTAAAGTGAACTGACAACAACAACAAGATTACATTTGTATAGTGCCTTTCACGTCGGGAGGACGTCCCAAGGTGCTGGACAGTGTACAGCATCTCAGACCTGAGCTGGGGTCGGGGGGGGGGGAGGGGGGAGGTGACTGTATATTCTGGGGCAAAAGAAGGGCTACACTGCACATCTGGTACAGAATCATTGTGGTTTGGGCAGCAATTCATTGCCAAATATGAGGTGTAAGAAGGGGCTAAGCGATACTACATCACCCAGGAGCCTCTCTTAGGAATATAACGCTCAAATAGGAACATAAGAGCGGGCCATTCAGCTATTCAAGCCTGTTCTTCTCTTTGTTTTTTAAACCTTTTAATCCCATTATATCAGTTTCTCTGTGTACCGACCTTGAAGTCCTTACTTCCTATGTTACTGTCTTTTCCCTGTTAATAGTCAACCCAGACAATTTGTTGTCTGCAGTCTTGTGTTTCAGTACATTCAGTGTTCTCACTATTCTTTGTATGAAGGAATAATCCTAGAGTAGTGGGTTTCAGAAACAATGCCATTTGCCCCCAGTGCAGCATAAAATGTCCAAATCCTAGTCATTAAACATCACGAACCAAGGTGCTCCAACACGATTTTCGGGCCAATTTCAAAGCAATATGAAACAGGAAATATGAATACCCAGCTGCACATCCCTTTATTGCCATTGGTACAGCAGGTTTGGCCCCAGCAAAATAAATTGAGCATTGAAGAACTAGACTCACTGCATTCCTTGCGTCTGTTATAGCACCAATCTTTTCATGAGTGTAATAGCTGAAGTGTAACAATTGTACTTGTAAGCAACTGTGTATTTGCAGCAGCCAATTTGCACACAACAATAACCCACACACAGTCATTAAATGAATCATCAATTTTATCTGAAGGATTGTTGGCCAGGACATCAAGAGAAACTCCCTTTTCTTTTTGAATAGTACAGTGGATCTTTAACGTCCCCTTAAGTAAGTAGACAACCATAACAACAACGACAGCTTGCATTTATATTTAATAATTTATATTTATATTTGAGGAGTCCTGTAGTTCAGTGGTCAGAGCATTCGCCTCGCAAGCGAGAGACCTGGGTTCGATTCCCGGGCAGCGCGAAATGCTGGACAAATTTCCTCACTCTACATGCCTCTGTTTACCCAACAGTAAGTAGGAACCCGGTTGTTAGTCGATTGACGAATCACTTTTCCAGTGGTAATAATTTCTTCAAAAAAANTGATAATAATAAGTTAGTCATTTCAATCCACGGCTGTTTGTGGGACGCTGCTGTGCGCAATTGGCTGCTGTGTTTCGCCCACAAAATATACAGTCAATTCACTTTACAGTATATTCCGTGAAGTGCTTTGAAACGTCTCAAAGACCTGATAAAACGCTACATCAAATGCAAGGATTAGTATTAGTAGTATTATTATATAGCACACCTCACACAGGGTAGCGTCCCAGAGCGCTTCAATTCTGGGTTAATGTCTCACCCAAGGGATGGCACCTCCGACAGTGCAGTGCCCCCTTAGCACTGCAAATTAAGTGTGGAGGTGAGACTATGAGATCAAATTCCCAGTGTGTAACTCCAATGCACAACCTTCTGAGGTGAGCGTGCTGCAACCTGAGCCAGGTTGACATCTGCTGAATCAAATAAAATACATCTCTTGCTCAGATAGATTAGTTTATCCTGATACAACTCAAAATATGATAGACATGTCTTCTTAACAACCTGCTACAGTCAGGATGAATTAGACATATTTCTATACAGCTGAAAACACTAAATATAATAATAATAGTATTTGATATACTGTCTTATCACATACTGATATGTCTCAAAGCATTTCACAGAGCACACTGTAAAATAAACTGACTGTATTTTGTGGACGAAATGCGACAGCCAATTGCGCACAGCACCATCCCACAAAGTCATGGGTTGAGTGACCAAAATTATTATTATTTTTTAAGGGATTATTATCCCCGGAAAGCAATCCGCCAGCTGACTAACAAACGGGTTCCTACTTATTGCTAGGTAAACAGAGGCGTGAGTGTGGGTGGAGTAGGAATGTTTCATCTTACCCAGGAATCAAACCCGGATCCTCTCATTTGCGAGGTGAGTGCTCTAAACAGTAAGCTACAAGACCAAGCGATTATCCCCGGAAAAGCAATCCGCCAATCGATTACGATAAAATTTATATGAAATGCTGGATTCTTACCTTGAAAATCCTGAACACCAGCTAATTTTGGTGCATCTAATAACCAGTCAGTGAGTGTCTGATTCTTGAAAGCGATACTGCGAAATTGTTTTCCCCCATTCACATTCCAGGTTCCAACACAGATTCGTATATGTTTTGGTACTGTGTACTTATGATAATTTTGACACATTCCGTGCAAGATTCGAGGGGAGGCTGTAAAACAGAAACATATATTTCCCATAACAAAATTTAGAGAAAGAATAATTCATCTTATAGCCTCATCGTGTAAGGCAGTCAGTTCTGTGAATACATCTAATCCTTTTATAATTTCTAGACAAAGGGAAGAGCCTTTTCACGTGGGAGGAGTGGATAAAAAGGCCAGAGGGAACAAGGGAGGTGTGAATTCAGCAGCTCTAATGGCCTGTGTACATTATTTCAATTACAGCCAAGTCAATCACAGAGAAGCTATTACTGGTGTGATTTGCCCAAATTAAAAATAAACCTAATGAGTTTTCTGGCAGGCTTCTAAGTGGACTAGCACATGTTAGTAAGGCATGAATAATAATAATCCTTGATTTGATATACAGAATATACTGTGAAGTGGATTGACTGTACTTTGTGGGTGAAATGTGGCAGCCAATTGCAGCACACAGCAGTTTTTCATTCATTCAATCTCAGCAAAGGAGGATCTTGACTGCATGTAGCTTACTTGACTGGTCTTCCATCTCCATTGGTTGACAATGGAAAAGAAACAGTCTCAGCTGCAGAAAAACTTACAGGATAAACCATCCTGTCTATCCAGCTAGAGGACAAGAATGTGTCTCGGTGAACACCCCAATCATACTCCTACAATAACGATCTTAAACTTCTCAAATGATTGCGTGGCTTCCATAAGCTTAAAACATTTAAATACACCTAGAAAGTGCATATATGTTAGAAAAAGTGTCAGTGCAGAGCTAGGTTGATGCTGGTTAACATACTGATGGAGAGATGGAAGAATACATTTGATGAGGAGGGGACAAACTACGAACATGAAGGAAACACTAAGTGTGACAATATCGTCATTGAAATCTTCAATGCTCTCTCCTCCACACGGGGGAACCTAGCACGAGGTATGGAAGAAGCATGAGGCATGGAAGAAATTCCACGGTTCAAAAGAGAGGCACAAAGGTACTGCATAAATAGCACTGCAACATGGGAACGCATAAATGAAAGTTGGAACTGTACAAGTTGTATATGAAAGAAGAATTCTGACAAAAAAGGCACAGAAATATTAACAGGATGTGGAAAGTAAAGTGGGAATGTAGCAAGCAAGGTATTAGAAGCAATATAGTATGGTTACGCACCTAATATATATATATATTTGTATATAATATAGAATTTATGTCACTGCTAGCTCCCCCATTGAAGCCAGCTGTTTTATTCTTAATTCCTTGTTCCATAGTTGTTATACTGCTCATCTCTTCTTACCCTTCCCATTTTTAATCAATATATTATGGTTTCAAGTCTCAATAGCTACATTTGGCAAAACATTCCATTTTATAACATGAAAAGGTTTCTTCCAATCTCCCCCACAATCCTTCAAATGCCTTCTCGTTATACTGATGATCATGGTCCGAAAACTCCAGTGAACATTCATAGCTTTCCTGCTCTTTATATCTGTATTGCTCTCTTAAGCAACGTTTATAGAACACGGACAAGTAATCAATCCATTGCCACTTTCTTTTAGCATTCTACAACTCTATACATAAGATTACTTTTCACAAAGCTAAATGAATGAAAGTGTATCAACTGCTAGAATGTTTTAAAACACACATTAAAACTTTTTTCAAGAACATCTAACTGAGATACAAATTCCTTCAGTAACCACCTCGTACTATCTCCTTCTTCATAAACGCCTTCAAACTTGTGTCAAATCTGAGAAAACATAACAATTTATAACTTTTACTTTATACAGGAAACCCGAAAATCTGATGGGCACGTTTTTAACCTAACTATAGGAACCTTTCTTAAAAGATTACGGGGAAAAGTTCATCTGTTTATGATTAACCAAAGCGTAAATTAAAATTCTTTTGTGCATTATTTTTGTTTTCCATTGTTTTGTTTCAGGTGTCGCGAGCAGATTTAGCAAATTAAATCACATTTGTGAAACATGTTAATCACTACACCAACATTTCTTACTCTGCTTTGACTCCAGCACCAAGGTACATCCTCCTAATGTGAAAGGCGCTATACAAATGTAATTTTGTAGTTGTTAAATCAAAGAAGAGTGGCACTAAGACTGCCCCTTAATCCTAAATGCTTTAAAGGGAGATAACGCAACACTTGCCAGTTGCTCTCAGTCGCCCTTTGTTTGCTGGTCGAATACTGCAGAATTGAAGGTTGCAGACATGTGGAAGTGGATATTTTAATGTTGAACTTCCCCTTAAACGAAGTTCTGCTCCATCAACATCAGAAATGAAGAACTCTGACCACAACACACATTCCCCATTTGGAATATCATTCGGTTCCACACAAACCAAAAGCTTCCAACCCGACTTGAATGACAGTTTGTAATTCAGGATATAAGAAGTGATAGAAACAAAGTCTAAAGATGACTCCCTTTATCAAACAAAAGACAAGGATAAAACATTCAGTTCAGGAAGCCTGCTCCTTCAACAGACCACACAAAAATCTCATCATGGAATCATCCCAATAACCAATCTCCTGAGGAAAGTTCAGCAGAAATACTTTATGATCCCTCCAGACGCCAAGCAAAAAACTCAAAGTATTCATCCAAACATAAATCTTCAACACTCAACACCAACTCTATCTCCCGACAGATACATTCTTCGCCTTCCAACCACCTTACCCAGCAACACAGAAGTCATATTCTGTAGCATCGTACAATATAATAATTTCTTCTTTAAACTATGCTTAATGTACATGAAGAAGCAAATCATTTTAATCCCTCGATGCGAGAAGAACTTATTCATAAAAGTGTCCTTTAAATTCAGAGCGTGCAAAATGGGATTCATCTCCAAATTACACTTGCTTTCTATGCAGACTGAAACACTTATTAAGATTTAGCTCTCATTAAAAATCTAAAGTGTCAAGGCAGGTATAGTAAAAAACACAGGTGTTGTGAAAGAAAGGCACGTGAAAAAGGGAGCAAAGACTGCTGTACATCTGAAGGTTTTAGGCAAAGCACTATACCTGATTGGAGTGTCAGTTCTGGAACTGCAGGCACAGCAAGAGGAGAAGAAGAACAAGCGTTAAACACAGTTAAGCATAGGAAGGCTTGTTACATGAACCAAATGAAATTTTTATCATGCGATACAAAAGATCTTGCTAGAAGAACACAATTTGAACAGATGGTGCAACTTATTTCCTTCTTACATTGTAATGTGTGCCCCTGGATTATGTTGACTTTGTAAAATATTGTTAGGATTAAGAATCATCTCAAGGGATTTTTTTCCCCCTCTTCCAATTGACGTCCCTCCCTCTTAAAAACAATATGCCCTTCAGTCTACTATCCACAGGCCCTCGGTGCCTTCTAGTAATTTGTGCAAGTGGCCTTTATTTGTTTGTGATCTTTGACAGCGACTGTTGGCAATCAAGTCAACTATGGGTGATGAACAAATTCAGCACAGACCAGAGATCTAACCTGGGAGATCTTCCAGATCCTTATAGCTCAGCGACGCACTGAATAATCTCACTCGGATTTTGAATATATATTTTTCAAACTTTGGCCAACTCGGGTGCTAAAATAGGTGGACTCATGTAGACAATTGTAAAACTTTTACAATTAAGTTGCACCAAGATGCATTCTGCTTCCAGCGCATGACAGAAGATCAAAAGGAAGTAGAAAAGCACATTGCAAACACATACATCAACAAATACAGGTACAGTTCAAGCAGACTCAAATGACAAATTTGCTCAAATTACAAAATCAAAATAATTGACCTGTGTTACGGAATAGGCAAATGAATAACAATGAAAATGGAAGTGGTCGAATTACTTTCAAACAAGCAGAACCACCACAATTACTATTTATGAACTGCATTATCCATTCCATTTTTACACCAACTACATTGCAGAAGGCTGAAACCTGATCGTGAAAGATGATTTTGTGACCTCTGCTGGAATCTAATCCACAAACAATAGTAGCAATAGTTTAATAAGAAATGTGCTGTGTGGGAGTGGGACGAGTTGGAAAGCTCCTTCCAAGAGCTGGCACAGGCACGATGGGTCAAATGGCCTCCTTCTGTACTGCAAGATTCTATGGTGAGTCTTTGATTACAGTCCACTCTGGCAACCAGCCCCTTAACTTTTTTTACTGCCCCTCTCCCCAATCCATGTTGTAAACATACAGCAGTTTTCCATTGATTCAAAAGTGCTTCACACACCGCTTGACCAAAATCAATGGGTTACAACATGTAGCAAAAGTAGCAGCAGGTCTTACTTTCAGAAAAATACTTTAGATTTAAAAACTTTAGAAAAGGTGTGTTGGAAAAATTTTGAATAGTTAATTTCATGGATTTCATTACGCTAATGGTTTCAGACACGGGCACGCTTCTCGGCTTGTTTGCTGCAATACCCCACTGCAACTGCAACAACAACAAAATTACATTTATACAGTGCCTTTCATGTTGGGAGGACGTCCCAAAGCGCTGGGATAAATACATTGCACTGCAATTAATACATCGTATTTATGCTATTACTTATCAATACTTTGGCGGATTTATTTCAATATTTTAAAATTATTTTTCCTCGAGTATTTGTCTAATTTGCCTTTGAACGTTGTGAAGTTTCACCTACAACAGCCATTCATGCTGATGTGTCCTGTATTCCAACAACCCTCAATGTAAAAACATTTTTTGTCATTTAAACTTACCTTCACATTATTGCATAAACAAAATCCAGTTGCATGGATTTCCCAATTCTTTATCATCCATAAACAATTGGGAAATTCCACAACTACTCTACACTGTACTTATTCGTTGACTTTTCTACATCTGAGCAAGACGTATGCTGAAGCAACTGGATACACGTTGGTTCATTGATTCAGCAGCACGCGTAACCTTACCATGTAAAGTGCTTGTGGTTAGGAGGGCACGAGCTTTATCTGCCAGGTCACTGTTCAAGGTATTACCAAACAGCAGTATGTCAATGGCTTCCTGTTTCGAACTGTCAAAGAAATTGTTCTGAATGGTTCTCGACACAGATCGTGCTCCATCTTTCAGCTTTCCACCCTGGAAAAGAACAAAGATGCGTTATTACGAGTATGTCAATGGTGTATCATTATAAGTTATTTATTTTTACACTTCATTAATAGCTCTAGTGGTATTCCTGTATCATAATCAAACGTTTAAACTGTATTGCACTACTATAAAAGCAAACTTGTACTTTCTGTTGGAAATTCAGAAGTGCAAAATGCAAAGAGGAAGGTTAGGAACAACTGGGTATGAACAGAAATGCTGGAAATCAACCGCAGTTTAGAGAAGAGTGATCGTTGTTTCATTCGGATGAAGAGCTGTGCCCGAACTGCCAAGCAATTCTCTTTGAGATGACAATTGACCTCCTGTGTATTTGCAGACATTTCTGTGTTTGTTTCAGATTTCCAGCATCTAGTGGTTTTTTTTTAAAAAAGTTCTCTTTACTGAATCATTCCCTTTTTGGAGGGAGAAAATTTTTTTTTATATAAAAAATGAATATTAACTCACCATTAGAGAATAACACAGAACATCCAAAGTAAGCATTTTCAGGGAAAGAAAAACACAAGCATATCAATATTACGGAATGGTCTATGTACATAAGTCATGCCAAACTAACGTCACTCAGTAGTTAAACCCACCAGGGATAAATTAGCATCTTATAACAAAGATAAAACCTTATTCAATGCTTCAAAAAGATCATTTGAAAGAGAACATACAGCCACATTAGACACTGCCATTCCACACTGTGACGTCACAAGTTCTAGCCGATTGTAAAAATATTTGGGATTTTTCTATCAATTCTCAGCAATACTAGCTTACTCTGTCGAGCTGCAATAGTTAAACACAACTAAAAGAGGCAGAAACAATCCCAATATTCCATGACTGTTCAAGTGGTTTTCATTAAAAGGAAACCATTCAGAAAAACTCAAGTTGGCTGAGCACTGGATTGGAATCAAAGGTTCCGACTTAATAATAATAATAATAATCCTTACATTTGATATAGCGCTTTTCACGTCGGGAGGACGTCCCAAAGCGCTTCACAGAACATACTGCAAAGTGAATTGACTGTATATTTGTGGGCGAACGCGGCAGCCAATTGCGCACAGCAATGTCCCACAAACAGTCGTAGATTGAAAATGACCAATTAATTATTGTTTTTGGTTTTTGAAGGGATTATTATTAGGCTCTGTGTGGAGTAAGGAAACTTGCCCAAGGTTTCGCCCTGCCTGGAATTGAACTCAGGTCTCTCACTTGCAAAGCGAGTGCTCTAACCACTGAGCTACAGGACTCCACAAATATCTTATCTCTTCACCCCTTTCAGGTCAACAAAATAACTACCTTGTTTTAATAAAATTTCCCCCTGGAAGGATAAGTGGGCTCCCTGGTGCTAATCCATCACTGAAAATGCTCTCTCCCTCCCCTACCTCCTTCAAGGCCCGTCCCAAGACCCTCCTCTTCGACTGCACCTTTGGTCACCCTACTTAACGTCACCCTCCCTGTCCTCCACCCCTCCTGATCGCAACCCCCAGCTCGGGTACAAATGCCTAATTCTCCGGCACCTTGCGACGTCCTCCCGACGTGAAAGATGCTGTACAAATGTAAATTGTTGTTGGTGTAGAGAGACAGAAGGTTGGCAGGTTCACTGCAATCAATCAAAGGATTGGAGTCCTGTAGCTCAGTGGTTAGAGCATTCGCTTTGCAAGCGAGAGACCTGGGTTCAATTCCAGGCAGAGGGCGAAACCTCGGGCAAGTTTCCTTACTCCACACAGAGCCTAATAATAATCCCTCCAAAACCAAAAACAATAATAAATTGGTCATTTTCAATCTACGACTGTTTGTGGGACGCTGCTGTGCGCAATTGGCTGCTGCGTTCGCCCACAAATATACAGTCAATTCACTTTACAGTATATTCTGTGAAGCGCTTTGGGACGTCTAGAAGACGTGAAAAGCGCTATATCAAATGCAAGGATTATCATTATTATTATTATTATAAAGGCACTGTTGATGGTTGATCAACCTGTCTGGCTCATCAATGAGACTCGGAAGTGTTAGACAGCTCCTCAAACCAGTGAGCTAGACAGTCCTTGCCGGATAAAGTGCTGTACTGCGTGGGTACAATTTCCTCAAAAAGTTGCAGAGTGCAGTTTCACAATCTCAATTCATCAGATCTTCCATCAGGACAAAAGTATAGTTGAGTCCCTTGAAGTGTGAGGGAGAATTGCTCTAATTGAAAAGGAAACTGAAAATGCCGATGAAGACATTACTCATGATAAAAGCATTAATTCATACAATAAGCCTTACTTGAAAACTCCAAACACCCAATGTGGAAGTTATTACCTGCACCCCTTTGTTGACCAGGTTTTCTAGGAAAATACCCAACATCTAAGACTTTACCTTTGCCTTTCCTTCCAGTGCTCCAGTTCCAGCGTAGATTTTACTGATCGAGTCGCCACACATTGACCACATAGAACGAAAGACTTCTTGAAACCTTGTGACCATCTGCTGCTTCTCAGCAAGTCCCAGACTTTCTAGCTGCTTGGGAAGCATCTGTGTAGAGCAGGAAGAAAACAAGCCGTTAAAACTCAATCCATTCTGGATTTATTCACATTACCACTTCGAATGAGGAACTGACAACTTAATATACCACATACCTGATGAAAGATAGGCTATTAGTTATCATTAAGGTTAAAAACAAGACACTATTTCAAGCACTTCATTCCTTCTGATCGTGGTTTGCAATATAAATTCTAACAATTTTTGGACTCACCTAAGCAGTTGATGAGGGAATGATAAAGCGGTTGAAATATAAATTTCTACGTCATTCAAAGTTATGCTCCCTTCAACTTCACCGTTACAGAATACACTATTTAAAAGTTTAAAAACGTTTTAATTAATAATTCATGTTGTAGTATTGCAGAATTTATTCAATTTATTAACTGTTCTTGTGAATGAATAATTGAGGGCAGATAGCTGGATTCTGCTTGCAGCTTCCTGTGAAAACTGTGCAAATGTCTGGTAAAAATAGTCTATTGGGAAATTGGATTTCTGTTCAAACAATAATGGATTCAAACTCGAAAGCATTATTTTATTGCCAGTGGATCAAACTCAAGACATCATTACAATGTACTACATTGAGCACTGAAACACATCTTCATAACTAAAGGTCATCCTCTAAATGTCTTAAAATAGATCTTCTAAATGCCCAAAATTTAAGATTATATAGAAATTGGCATGTTCTTCAATTCATTCTTAAGTTGGTACCTGCGTACCTAAAAATTGGGGAAAAACAGCTTCAAAATTCGACTGAATTTAAGAATTTTCTTAAATTAACGATAAGACTATCAAATGCAAGAATTATTATTATTTCAAACTCGTCCTGTTTACACAAAGGGCATTTAGAAGATCTCTTAAATATTAAGGTAATGCTTTTAAGGCTAAGACCATGAGATATTCTGGGCTCCTGGAAAGTTGTTCATCGCTATTAATCTTTTGTGCTAGAGTAAAAGAAATATTTTGCAATAATAAATAATTTCAACACAAAGTTTTACCTCCAGCCCAATGAATGTCTGAACACTGTTAGTTCTATCAAGGCAGTCAAGGCAATTGGTTCTGATGGAACCAGTCTGGGTCCTGTAGGAAAAGAAAATATTCTGCTTCAACTATAGTTTGAATCTTTCGAATGGGTCATTCAGCCCGTCCCATCTGCCTGTTCAGGTGGACAATAAAGACCCCAAGGTACGATTCGAAAAGAGAAGAGAGTTCTCCCGGTGCCTTGTCCAACAATCCCCAAGATAAATTTGCTCATGAGGAGATTCAATAGGGTGAACAAGGAGAAACTATTTCCACTGGTGGGTGGGTCAATAATCTGAAGACACTGAGTTAAAACAGTTGTTAAAAGAAACAGAGGGGACGTGAGGAGAAATTTTTTCACACAGTGAGTTGTTCGGATCTGGAATCCATTGCCTGAAAGGGTGGTGGAAGCTGATTCAATAACAACTTTTAAGAGAGTAGATAATTATTTGGGGAGGAAGTTTGCAGGGCTATGGGGAGAGAGCAGTGGGATTGATTTGGACAGCTCTTTTCAAAGAGCCGCCACAGACACGATGAGCCCAGTGGCTTCCTTCTGTGCTGTATAATTCTATGATTGTATGATTTACTTTCATGGGTGCTTTTGGGACATTGATATACGCAACCTGGCTGTCGAATTCGCCTATAAAATACGCAGTAATTCCCACTTTACAGTAAATTCTGCAAAGAACTTCGATAAGTCCTCCCGACGTGAAAGGGGCTGTACAAAATGTGAGGATTATCATTATTAATGTTGGGAAAGTATAAATGCTGACGTACCTCTGAACTCCATTAGAATCACAATAAAAGAAACCGCAATCTTCTAGAAATGGTTTCAGTTTGGGTTTCAGCAGGGTGCTAAGTTTATCTGACTTCACACCTTTCACTTGTTGGTGGTAGTCAAAATTCACCATGAGGATATCGTTAGCATGCACAGAGGCCTTCAGGTGACTCTGGCATAGAGAAGGAGATAACAAGTCAGTGTAAAGCACAGCTTTCCATTACTAGTTTCATTCACACACACTACAAATACAGAGGAACAGGAATAGGCCCCTATGCCTGAGTTATGCTACTGTATCACTACCAAACAAATGATACTCCAATTTTTTATACAATCAATTTACTTCAGAGTATATTCTGTTAAACGCTTTGAGATGTTTCAATGACAGGATAAGATGCTATATCAAATGCAAGGATTATTATTATTATGTAGAACAAAAAGGCAGAATTTGTTCTCCATTCAAAATTAACATACTTTACTATTAAAAATGAAATGGCAGAACAAAATTATAGTCAGTCATGTTTCAATATGAATGTTTGAAAATAAAGACTGGGAAAGCAATTTAAGTAAAACAGTTTTTTTCCAAAATAATAATGAAAAGAGACAGATTATAGCATTGATTTCTCAACACTGATGTGTTGTGAAACTTGTTCTTGCAACATTAAGTCCAGTTACTTACTTGGAAGGCTTTACTAAGCATGTGTTCCCCTTCTTTCACTCCTAGGAGGTTAATTATTATCTGTTTCCCATATTGCTGTTTAAGTGCTCGTAAATGTCTGTTTAAGAAGGTTTTAAAGCAATATTTTTTAGAATGGAGAACATTCAGTTTTACCTCCTAATACATAAAATGTTTTGTACAGGTCTATTTAAACGTACTACAAAAACGTAAATCTACTATTACAATGTCCCAATAAGTCAATCAAAGTCTCCAATAAAGTCGGTTTCTGTACCTGTCAAATGCAGGTGCATTGGCTTCAAACCCCCTGGAAAATCGTACACGATGAGACCCAACCTACAACAACACAAAAAAAATTAAAATGATCTCATTCAAATATCAACATCAAAAATAAATAATTTTCGAAAAAGGTGGGACGTCTTAAATAATGGGAACTATGTTTATACTAAAATAATGTTCTAAGCCATCTCAAAGGAAGAGAAGGTTGGCAATGAAATAAGTACAGTGAAGATCCTAAACTATTATTTTGTTTTGGTCAGCCAGGTGTCTGACATGTGTGGAAACCCATCACCGTGCTTCAGAGTATCCAAACCAAGCTGAGAATTCCACGTATCCCACATACACATGGAAATCCCAGAGATCGATTGTTGGAATGGACTGCGCACTCTCTCTCCCTGGAGGGACACATCCCGCGTACCCAATTCCAGAAGGTATTAGACGCAGGTTGGCAAGAGCCAAGGCTTGGGGACCACAGAGTGTGCATTGGGGTACCTGTTGAGAGTCTAACCAGCTAAAACTCTAAACTATAAAATCATTATTCTACAGTTTATAGTCACTATAAAATCATTAGAAACTGCGAAAAAATCGGACTTTGGGGCGTTTTCCTTGCCCTCAAACAATTTGAAGCGCTGATTACGCTTAGAATAAAATTTTACAGCACAGAAGGAGGCCATTCAGCCCATCGTCCCTGTGCTGGCTCTTTGAAAGAGCTACTCAACTAGTCCAACTCCCCTGCTCTTTCACCATAGACCTTCAATTTCTTTCTATTTTCAACTGCAACTTCATTTTGAATTGTCGGGGTAAGTAAATGTAGAAGCCAGACCCCAACATAAGCAAACCGGGATTATAATGAAGTGCCTTATAATGAGGTTCTATGGTTAAAGATCTACAGGTTTTACTGCATTTGGTTCTTTTCATCTCCGTATTTCCTATTCATCTCCAACTGTGCGCAATTGGCTGCCGGATTTCACGCACAAAATATTGTCAATTCACTTTACAGTATATTCTGTGAAGTGCTTTGAGACGTCTCAACAACATGATAAGGCACTATATCAAATAGCAAGGATTACTATTATATTATGTTTAGAAAACTTGCCATGGTTCATTTTCCCTGCTCCACATCAATTTACTTTTAAGCTAGTTATATCAATCGGCAGACCCATATTTTGACAATACTACAACACAAATCTTGCCTTCAATTAATTCATTCAGAAGGATTCGGGAAAAAAAATTGTAACCATACAATCATAATTTATCACAGCAAATCAAATCTGATGCTTTATTAAATTAATATATCCCTAGGATATATAAATGAGCATAGAATACCTTTCACTGACATATATTAAAGATCCCATGGGCCTTTTTAAAAAGGGAAGGGAATATATTAATAACAATATATCTCCTGTATCCAGGCAAACAAACCCCAAGATAAAATTGGTCATTTCAGCAATCACCTACAGAACATAAAGTCACTACATTACATAGGATTTTGCGCTTTGAGACGTCTCGAAGACGTGATAAAGCCCTATATCAATGCAAGGATTATTATCATTATTATTATTTGCATAGAAATTGGGTTTGTGCAGTCTGAAATTCCAGATGGGTAATAAATAAGATTATAACCATGGATTGCCAAGGGGGTAACCTATAATGCTGACTGGAAATTCAGCCCAATGATGCTCAAAATGTCTTCTTGCATTGTATTATTTCCAAGGCCAAGCCTCTACTGCTGGAATTCAAATTTCAAATTTATAATACTGTGTTTTCTCTCTTTCAAATTTATAACCTCGCATTTTCTCTTTTCTTGTAATGACAGATGGTAAACAACTCCAGCAGAATCTTGCCCTTCAGAGCTTGCCATCAGCTTTCGGGAGGCTTAGAGGTAATGCAACTGGAGTGCAGTTCCATCTGTTCAATAGGTTGTACCAATGTGCCTGGCGTTACTAACTAGCCTACGTTCTGAACAGATTCACATGGAATAGTGCACCAGCTATCAGTATTTTGAGTACTGAACTCACCACAGAACCTTAAACAAGTCAATTTAATTTACTAAAACTCTGTAGTGATTATTTTCCAATGGTTTAACATTGGGCTCTGTTGTAGGCAGATCATTAAAATAATGATTTGCATTATGTTTGCATGATGGGAAATGCCAATTATAAGCAAAAAGATCACTGCGCGTAGCCATCTGTGTGTGAGCAAACCCATTCGATCCATCTGCCTCACTGCCACTGTAACTACCTTATCAATAGGTGTTTCTGCTTTAAAATTGTGTAAATTCCTTAGCCCACAATGTGACTTGCAGTCTCACACCTTATCTTTTGAGCGGAGGGGGAATTCAGAGGAATTCATCACCACGTCCATCTGAACTGTTTGCCAACGTGCCAAAGTAATGACCAAGATTAAGAAGCTAAATCATATTCGTTCACAGTGCAGTACAGTGGCGCCCCCGTCCACTGTGCCACCCAGTTTTTAATCCAATTTAAATTTCATCAAATGCTATGGAAAATACTCATTTCGTTAACTTTTGACCATGCGTGCTGCAAATTCCCTGACATTTGTGGCAAGCCCAAAAAGCCAATGATGGAAGATGGAAGGAAGAAGGTACCTGCAATAAAATTGTAGTCTAAAAATATTGCCTCATCTGATTGTTTTCTGGGAAAGAACAGAGTACAGATTTTCGGCTTCAGCTGCTAGGAGTGTTGTAATACGATCCCAGAAATCTGAAAATCTCATAATAATAATCCTTGCATTTGATAGAGCGCCTTATCGATATTTTAAGACTCTTTGTGGGACACTCTGTGCGCAATTGGCTACCGCATTTAGCCCACAAAATATATGTCAATTCACTTTACAGTATATTTTGTGAAGCGCTTTGAGATGCCTTGACAACGTGATAAGGTGCTGCGTCAAATGCAAGGATTATGAGGATAAATTTCTCAAAAATGTTGTTTCTATTTAGAAGCTGGGTTTTCTGCCATTCTTAAACGTGAACATATCCTATCCGGCCACACTCTAAATCAATAAAAACTTCAATCCTTTCAATTTGAAGTACAGCACTATTTAGAAAACCAACCTGAATGCCCGGCTGCTCCCAGAACAACGGGATAGAACCTCTGATCTGAATAAAAGAGGTTACACAGTCATCCAAGAATATCACCTGCAGGGAGAGAAGAGTACTGTATTATTGGCTGAAATAGGCTGCAAGATAGCATGCACAATAATTATTTATTATTCATTAAAGCAGTATTTATTAATCATTAATGATTAATGATTAATCATTAATCATTAATAATCATTATTAATCATTAATGCGGTTCACGTGATAAGGGGCTATAGCAAATGCAAGGATTATTATTATTAATATTATTACTAAGTAATGGGAGGGTGATCTGAACAGAAAAAGAGAAGTAGATGGAAAAAGAAGTTCCATCGAGCAAACGTGGTTATTTAAATCCACCAGCAAAACCATTTCCTTTATCTGCTAAAAAAACCCCACAAAATAGCCCAACTAAAAAAAGATGATTCCCCTTTATTCGTTTCACAATACACTGCCAGCTTGGACACTTGCCCTTCCTTCAAATAACATAACTAGGCCCTATATTTAGTACTCTGACTCTAACCTCAACCATCAGCCATTTACTCCGGTTTCATTTTAAGTCATGTAATGCAGTACCAGCCAGCACAAGGTCATGCACTAGATTGCACTCTTCTGACCAGAAGAAAAAAGGGCCCCAATTGATCCTCAAAAGCTAGCAGATTCTTCTAACAAACACAGTCAGATATCATACACAAAATATCGCTGGAAAATATCATATGATGTTTCTTGATTATTTAACTGAATGTATATATTTTCACCCACAAAATATAGAGCCAATTCGCTTTACAGTATATTCTGTGAACTGCTTTGTGAGACATCTCGAAGATGCACTGAGGCGCTATATCAAATGCAAGGATTATTATTATTATATATGTAAACAATCCAGCTGTTCTCAATAAGTTGCTGACTATTTTATCATAACTGTGAAAACAAACCGGGGGAAGATGACCATAGGCACGGTCAAAGAAGAAGGCCTTTATGGGTAACCTGTAGATGGGGAAGGAAGGGGCATGGCGGAGGGATAGAGGAAGAGAGTTCCAGAGTTTTGGGGCGTAATGGCTGAAAGCTTCGCCACCGATGGTGGAAAGGAGGGCCCGATGGACAAGTAGGAAGCTGGAGCCAGTCAAGCGGAGGCTTCGGGTAGTGGCATGGGGAGTAAGTAGGTTGGAGAGGTAGGTAAGTGGCCAGAGATGAAGGGATTTGACGAAGAGTGTGAAAACATCACGACAAGCCATTCCTCTATCGGCTCATTTTTGTCCTTCTCACTCATGTCTAAACTCTTAGCTCCCACGTTTGACATCCCCAGCCTACCATACCGCCAAGTCCCACTCTCCAGTCTCCCTCAGATTTTCTTAATACCTCTACATATCTACTCAGGATTTCGACACCTCCGTCTCTCTACTTCCAAAGTAGTTCACGTTGCAGAGAAGGGCTCTATTCATAGGACAAACCACTTTAGTTAACAGATGACAAAATTTCATTCTCTTGCTGTTAAATTGCTTTCTCTCATGTGAACAATTGGAATGACTTTTCAGTTGGGAGGAGAGAATGAAAAGGTTAGGAAACAGTGCTGGACTCTCCAATCACATAACATAGAGGAGTAACAACTGTACAGGGAGATCAGGAAATCCCATTCTTATGGGCTGGTCTGAATCTCTGGATGCAGGACAGGGATCTCCCATGATAGGTAGAGATTTCTTGGGAAATGGCTCTGTTAATCCTGGTGAATGCATTCACGACTCCAAAGAGACCAACAGGGATCAGGATAATCCCAACTGCTGCACCAACCGGACAAAAATACCACCAGTAAGAGCAGCCAGGCTTAAATGGACATGGCAAGGTTTACTTCAGAGTTCTAATTATATCATGAGTTTTCATAACCGTGATTCTCTGCACTTTAATCTTCACAGTTTGCACATGACAGAGCCATTTATATAATCAGATTATTTGAATTAGTCAGGTTCATCAAGTATATTCCAGCTATCATGAGGCATTATTGAGAACATGGCTGATAAAAGCATTAAAAAATATCCAACAGCAGCCTGGTTGCTGTGCAATTTGTTAATTCATGGTGACCTTTCAGTTAGAGACATCACATAAAGAAAAAAAGTTTTTAAAAATAAAATAAATTCAGTCTTCAAAGCAGTGTACCTGTTCTGTTTCAACAAAGTTAGCTACATGTCCAGAGTCATTTGTTCCTCGCACATTGAACCTGGTTCCAGCTCTTTCACAGCTGAGACGTGAAATCAGGCAAGCTTTTGCTTGTTTGTGAGCAGCATAAATAGTCCTGATCTCCACTCCTCCACACATGAGTCTCAGAACCCACTCATCACAATTCACATCATAATGCTTCAGGTGCAAATGCAATGACTGATTCCTAGTGAGAAGAAAATTTAACAAGAGTTAACTTTTTGGGCCAGAGTAGAACCTCTATATCAACGCATTAGAAAAGGAACACCAACTTCTGAATTGAAGTCCAAATTCAATTGTGTTAAATTCTGGATAACCTCAAAAGAAAATTACATACGTCTTATTTATAGTACATCTTATATATCTTTTTTTACTGTTTCTCAGTTCAAGGACTTAATTTATTCCCCATTTAAAAATGTTGAGGTTCAAGTTTTAAAAGCATGAATTCCATTAGTACATACCTGCTGAAAATGACAAACAATTGATATTTTGGTTAATAAAATAAATCATGGCACCTAAGGTTAAACAAAAAAAAATCTGGAATCAATGACATGCATTAATAGAAACTCCAACTCACCAAAAGAACCTATTGTCAGTTGTGTGCTCTTGTATTCTACGATGGGCATTCAGACTCAGATCCAGACTGACTCCACTGGCAGACCAAGCAAAATAAAAGCTCCCCGAATTCAGCACTTTCCGCACTTCAGAGATGCGTTCTTCATCTGTAGGGTCACTTCGAAGAGAAATAAACTCAGTGGAAGTGACCCTGAAGACTTCAGAATCCTGTATCTTCCCCACTGACATACAGCCAGTTACCACGACCAGGTAATACAACATGCTGTCACCTGTGAGAGAGCCATACAATAGAGTCGGCAAGCAGTAAAGAAGTTGGCATAAATAAACATGGCTATTCACTTTTCTCCATACCGCAACCCTAGAACGACAGTGACTCAGTGGTGTAACTTTCCAGAACAAATACAGTAATATTACTGAAGGAAACTTCATACATTTTAAAGCTGTCCTACTTGAGAAAAATGTTTATCAAATTGGACCGATAGGATATTGGATATGTATTTGACAGGACTGGAAACAATGTTCAAGAACTGTGCATTTACATGGAATTTGGGTTTGGGTAGTCTGAAATTCCAGATGGCTAATAAATAGGATTATAACCGTTGATTGCCAAGGGGGTAACCTATAATGCCGACTGGAATTTCAGCCCAATGATGCTCAAAATGGCTTCTTGCATTGTATTATTTTTAAGGCCAATCCTCAACTGCTGGAATTTAACTTCACAGGATAATCATTAGGTACTGGGGATTTTCTCAATAGCCCTGGACAAGTGTGAACTAACCCATATAGATGTAGAAAACCCACATTCAACTTCAATCCCTGGTCAATCTGTGTTAGCTCATCTGAACTGAGATGGTAATCAGTTGGAAATGGGCAAGGAGAGAGATGATAACATGAAGCAGAGTTCACCTCCTGATCTCTATCCACTGATTTCTGTTGAAAAATGCAGGATAGGGTTTCGCTCTAATGGCACCCTGCCAATATCCACTTACATAGGCTTAGATACTTAGCTACAGGACTCCAGTGCCTTGGGATGTCCTCCCGATGTGAAAGACGCTATACAAATGTAATCTTGTTGATTTTGTAGGTACAAAACACAGCCATTCGAGCAATGACTCAAAAAAACAAAAATAAAGAATAAAACTATAACATATAGTTCAATGCTACTTACCAAGATTCAGCCTCAAAACTCCCAAAAGCCCATATGCATCTATTAGTTTGGTGTACATGCTTTTGATGGCCTCCTTCTCTGCTGCCGCTGTACAGAATTTGAAAAGGAAAGGTAGTTAATGGAATGATCATAGGCCACTGCCAAATGTTCAGTGCGCTGTTAATAACAGGCGTAACTATATTTGATACAGTTCTAAATGATCAGTATAGTTTGTGAATGAATACCTTCTGTTAGTCTCCATGTGTTTTTCTGCCTTTATCTCCCTCACTTCCTGTCTCTGCCCATCCCTCCTCCCAATGCCAATCTCTCTTTGGGCTGGTTCCCTCTGTGTGTTACTCTGGGTGTGTGTGTGTGTCTGTCTGTCTATCATTGGCCTTTTTCCAGGAGTTTTAGCTTCCTTAGGTCTATTGCAAATTATGTCTCACACTCACTTGCTCTTTCCCATCTCTCTCTTCCCTCACACTCTTTTTCAGACTCAATAGACCTCCATCTGTTCCCTTACCTCCTTTGTGGCGACCCTCACTCTCTCTTACCTCCCACATTCACACACATTTCCCTCCTCGTTTTCTCTCTTCCATCCCACTCCTCTTCCCCTTTTCTCTCCTGCCTATCACGTTCTCTCGTTCTATCCTCTCTCTCCCTCCCTCCCTCCCTCCCTCTCAGTCACACTGTGTTTCAACGAGCCTGCCGATGTGGCTTCCAGCTCCACTTTTGTTGATTGTCTGCATGGTAGGCTGAGAAATCCGAAAAGTGCCAACTTGGCCTCCACCTCAATTGTATAGATCGGACTAAACGTGAAAATGGAACAATAAGATTTAAGGAATGTTACAGCTCAGAATTTGATCATTCGTGCTATTAAGTCCTGCCCCAGCGTGTTTCTCCACTTGGACCATCTAGTCTATTTGCACTGTCCTGCTCACTCTTCATTCCCTTTAATATTCTTCCTCTTCAAGGAGCGACCTAATTCTCTTCCAAAAGGACTTACAGACCCTGCTTCAACGAAGGAAGTACGCAGTAGTTAATAATCTAACTCCCTTCCTGGAATTTAAATATTTTAGAGAATAATAAACATTAAGTTGCATACCCATTGTGGGTTTTGATAAAAATGTTTCTGCAAGAACCTGAGAGCTGCCTTGATTGAAGGGGGATGAAATTAAATACTATTAAGTATTATCTAGTATTAAATACTAGAAGCGTTTTGGGACGTCCTCCCGACCTGAAAAGCGCTATATCAAATGCAAGGATTATTATCATTAATAATAATTCTATAATATTAATAATTTGAGACATCTCAAAGCGCTTCACAGAATATACTGTAAAGTGAATTGGCTGTACTGCGGGTGAATCGCGGCAGTCAACTACGCACCAAATATTATAATGATGACTACTTTAGATCGGTTTATTTGGCATTTTCACTGTCAGTTCTAGGAACAACAAAACTTCAGCAAAGTAGCGTCAATGTTCTTGGTGCAGGAACTGAAGGTCACACTGCCATAATCAGGGCTTCTTATGTTACAGTTTCTCCTCAACATTACCAGTATTCTAAGAAAATGAGATTAATTTAATTGTATAGGTAATTTAAAGAGATTAAAAATCTTCATGACTGTACAAAGACAGTTTGTATCATACTGGGTTCCACCCCTGCCACCCACTGAAAACACTTCAAGAAATTTCAGTTTTTAATTTAAATAATTTGTTTTCAATGTCAAACTCTCACCCATTGAAAAACAAGGTTATTACTGCAGGAACATTTACTGGAAAAGCACAGTGCTGATTTTAATGCAAACCTTGGCTACCGCATTTGCCCACAAAACACAGTCACTATGCTTTATTGAAGACTGTGAAGCACTTTGGAACTTATTTTGGATGTGAAAGGCGCTATACCAAATATAAGGATTATTATTATTATAAAACCTATATATCTCAGGTATTTTGAAGTCCTTTTTAAAAAAAATGTAGCAACTTAATTCTCAGTTTAGAAACTAGAGTTCTTTTTTTTGAAAAATAAGCACGATTTGGAATTATAGTTAAAGAGAATTAATTGACGATTCTAATCGTGTTACACAGAGAGGCTAAATTTCGTTCTTTCTTGTCTGACAGCAATACTTTCAAATTGATTAAGTAGGGTCTCCTTGGAGCTGAGTGGCTCCAAGGCGACATGTTTGGCAACGTGATGTTGGAATCGAGCCAACCCTCTGTGGTGGTCTCGGTAGTCCGGTTCCTGAGCCAAGAGGATCCACAGTATTCCAGGGCACTGCTGATGCCATCTCTAAAAAACGGCTTCTCCTCCAGCCCATGCATCATCTTGTGCAGCATTCCTCAGGGCTGTCCTTGGTCTTCTCCTCTTCAACCTGTACATGCTGGTGAAATTGGTGACATTATCCGTTGACCTGGGTCAACTTCCACATGAATGCAGATGACACCCAACTGTATCTCTCTGCCTCCACCCTCAACTCCAGGACCACTGCTGTCCTGACAGAATGTCTGTCAGACATCAATTCCTGGATGAGAGACAACTTTCTACAGTTGAACGCCAACAAGACCGAGGTCCTGCTGATTGGCTCCCATCAGCGCCTCCACACCTCAGGCACTGGCAGCATCACCATCCATGGCTGCACACTCCACCTCACTGAGCCAGTCTAGAACCTTGGCATCTTGTTTGACCCTCAACTGTCCATTCTACCCCACACCCGAGCCATGACCCGCTCTGCCTTCCCCACCTCCGCAACAGCCCCTTGGCTCCACCACTGCCTATCCCTTCAGGCCGCCGAAACCCTGATCTACACATTCATCACATCTAGGCTCGACTACGCCAACTCCCTGCTTGTCAGCCTCCCCATCTCTTCCCTCCACAAGCTGCAGATCATCCAGAACTCTGCAGCTCATGTCCTCAACCGCATCAAGGTCCGTGACCCTATCACCTCCACCCTCGCCCGACTCTGCTGGCTCCCCATCCTATGGAGTCCTGTAGCATAGTGGTTAGAGCACTCTCCTCGCAATCGAGAACCTGGGTTAGATTCCCAGTCAGGGCGAAACGTAAGGCAAGACTTCATGCCTCTGCTTATCTAGCAGTAAGTAGGAACCCAGTTTTTAGTCGATTTGGGGATCGCTTTCCGGGGGTAATAATCCCTTAAAAAAAAATAATAATTTGGTCACTCAATCCATGACTGTTTGTGGGACCTGCTGTGTGCAATTGGCTGCCACTTTACGCCCACAAAATATACAGTCAACTCACTTTACAGTATAGTCTTTGAGACGTCTCAAAGACGTGATATGGCTCTGTATCAAATGCAAGGTTTATTATTATTTTCCGCAGAGGATAGAGTTCAAAAATCCTCGTCCTCGCCTTCAAGGTCCTCCACGTCCTCCTCCTACCTCTTTGACCTGCTAACCCATATCAACCTGTCCACTCCCTCCGCTCAGCAGGCTCCGGCCTGCTCCACGTGCCCCACCATCGGCGATCGGGCCTTCAGCCTCTCTGCCCCCACCCTTTGGAACTCCATTCCACAATCCATTTTCCTCCTTCAAAGCACGTCTCAAGACCCTCCTCTCCGGCCATCCTCCTAACCCCCTGCCCCCCACCCCGCTCGGGTCCAAATCCCTGACTGTCCAGTACCTTGGGACGTTCGCCCGATGCAAAAGGCGCTATCCAAATGTAATTTTGTATTGTATTAACAGGCACCAAGCAGCGGGCAAGATGGCTGGACACCGCTATCAATAGCAAGCCACGCAGTTTTAGCTGGTTAGGCTCCAGCATTATCCCAACACACGCTCTGGGGTCCCCAAGCCTTGGCTCTTGCAATTTGCACCTCATACTTTCTGGAATTAGGTAAAGCGGGATGTGTCCCTCCAGGGAAAAAGTGCACATTCCACTCCAACGATCTGTCTCTGGAATTTCCATGTTGGATGCATGGAATTCTTTGGATACTCTTAAGCATCGTGATGAGTTTCTGTGTCGACGCCCATCTGACCAGAAAAAAATGAAATTGCCCAAATTTAAAACTATACCCTAGGTTCACACTGCTCAGATTCTAGTCTTAAAATGCAGACTTCTATTAGGGTCTTTTTTGTGTGTGTTTATGGGATACTATAATAATAATAATCCTTGCATTTGATATCGCGCTTTTCACGTCGGGAGGACGTCCCAAAGCGCTTCACAGAACACACTGTAAAGTGAATTGACTGTATATTTGTGGGCGAACGCGGCAGCCAATTGTGCACAGCGATGTCCCACAAACAGTCGTAGATTGAAAATGACCAATTTATTATTGTTTTTGGTTTTGGGGGGATTATTATTAGGCTCTGTGTGGAGTAAGGAAACTTGCCCAAGGTTTCGCCCTCTGCCTGGAATTGAACTCAGGTCTCTCGCTTGCAAAGCGAGTGCTCTAACCACTGAGCTACAGGACTCCATACTGCTGCGCAATTGACTGCTGCCGTTCGTCCACAAAATATACTGTCACTCCACTTTACAACTTCCTGTGTAGTGCTTTGAGACGTCTCAATAACATGACAAGGCGCTATATCAAATGCAAGGATTATCATTAGAGAGGGTTTTTGATAATGTCTGGTTGCATTTGAAACACTGTGAATAAAAAATTCCAGGTTAAAAACAGTCGTGGGCAGGAATGAGGAGAAATTTTATGTCACAAACGTTAAAAAAAACCTATTCATTCAGTCTTTCACCCTTTAAGATTATTTTTTTCTCGTCAGCAACCTGCAGCGTACCAGAACAAAACCCCACCCCCAAGATTCAACTGCTCTGTGCAATCTAAATAAATCTATTGAATTAGTTCTTGAAAGCATCAATGCTTTCTGCTTTCACTGTCTCCCTAGGGAGCCGGCTCCATATGTTGTGAGAAAGTCAATGAAAATAGAGAATGGAAACAAATTTTAAAATGCAACAATTTGCATTCAAAAAACCCATCAAAATCTGAAACACAGAACATAGAAACATAGAAACAAATATTTTATTAGAATAATCCCTTTAAAAATAGTCAATTCACTTTGCAGTATATTCGGTGAAGCGCTTTGAGAAGGCTCGAAGATGTGATAAGGCACTATATCAAATGCAAGGATTATTATACGAT